CCACGTACCCTGATCGTCCGTGGCTGATACACGTGCATCGTAGTAAGATCAGCGTGTTGTTCTTCGATGGGAAACTGAACCATCTTGACAGTGTGACCATAAGCGAGGACAGCAGCAGCCAAAGCACTGCCGTAATCTCCAAACTCGAGATATGCATTGACGTCCGCGCCTTCCTGTACAATGAAGCGTACACAGTCTGAGCTAGCGATCACCACAACAGCTACCATAGGACTGCCATATCTTCCCCTCTTTGACCTGGTGTTGATCTTAGCACCCGATTCGACGAGAAAGCGTATACAGTCTAACCTGCCAGACGATGCAGCAGCTGCTAAGGGACTGCCATATCTTCCACTCTTTAAGATGGCATCAACCTTAGCACCCTTTTCCACAAGGAGATTTGCGTAGTCCAACTTTCCTGAAGACACGGCAGCTACCAGAGGGCTTCCAAAATCATCTCCGGTGATTTCTGGATCCACGACTGCGCCTCTCTCGATCAGAGCTTTGAGTGTGATAATATCACCATTGTGAGCAGCTCTCGATAGCGCACCGCCGTAATTGCATCGCTGATGAGGACGGGATTCATCGTTACACATGATGTTAGGATCTGCCCCTTTGTTCAATAGGAGCTCAGCATATCTAAAACCTTTCTCTGTGGAGAAACAGAGGTGGCTGTGGCCACGTTCTATGCAATCCGGTATTGCACCGTTATCCAAAAGCAGACCGGCGATGATGAACATCCCTTTGTCGATCGATGTCCTCAATGGGCTCAAATCTCCGTAATTGCTCTGTCTGTTGACGTCGCACCCTTTATCTATAAGATATCGACAAGCTTCTTGATGCCCAAACAAGGCAGCGATCATGAGTAAGTTTTCTCCCCCCTTCATTCAGCAGTGAGGGAATATCGAAGTCTCTGTTCCACCAACCATCCAGAGTTTTGTGAAGGCCAAGTGCGATGATTCCAAAGATGCTATTGGTTCTTGGAAGAACGGCGTGGTACACTCTGTGGTAGACACCATGCTCGTATAACATAACCTTGTTGCAGAGCACACGGTACTCCCTTGAGGAATGCTGGGGACCTTTCTCACCGAAAAAGCGTATCAAAGTTTCGTATATGCCTGTGGTCTTGGCTTCTTCATTTGAAAAGTCTCGGGCGTGGTGGAAACAATTCTGCTGTATGTATGATTGAAGTGGATGTCGGGGGTCCAGAGTATCATCTGTAACCGCAGCACCGCTTTCGAACCAGTCGGATATCGCTTGAACTGATTTATTCTTCATGATATGCTGTGGTGGCCATGTCAAGTGTTCCGTGGTTGCGAAGCCATTAGATCGTGACAGCTCTGATGTGGGCGGGCCTTCGTAAGTCTCACTGTCCTCATTCCATAAAAGACCTCTTGAGAGGCATTTCATCATCTGGTTGAACATGAAAAGTGTAATTTCTGCTGAGTGGTTTCTGAACCATAGTTCGTTTTTTTCCTTGAAATAGTCAAGGACCGATGCATGGGAGAATTTCCAAAGGCCAAGCTCCGAATCCTTCACAACCACGTGTCAGCAGGCAGACTCCAGCTGCTGCTCAGTGATTCTGGTCTCAATTTCATCAGTCTTCCCGGGCCCCACCCTGATAGCTGCGAGCAGTGTGGGACTGTCGAATGCTTGGCGAGCGCATGCGATCCATTTGACAGCCCGCTGCACTATCGCAATTTCGAATTCCTCACGAGTTAGTTCCTGCATGATCTCATCGTATGCTTTCTCTAACGACTCGGGAAGTCTTGTAAGCCTCAACTCTATGTTTCCCTCGATCTTGAGCGGTTTGAGTCGTTCCCATTGGAGGTAAGTCCATCGAAACCTTTTTGTTTATCGTCAGCCCTAACCATAAACAGTGGCAAACATGATACTAACATTCTGTTACTTCGTTCCACAAGCACGTCTTTGACACGATCTTTGGTTTCGGGTTTGATCTCCGCCCAAACGACAGAGTGTTTATCCATCGCCTTAGCCATAAACTTTTCGATGTCGCCAATGTTGTCGGAAGTGTTGACATGGATGATCGTCGGTAGGTAGTCCGGGGATAGCTGTTGATAATTTCCTCCAGAGCCTCCTCACAGTCTTTAACGCTGACTGCGTTTTGGATCTGTCCTTCGTTCTGGTATAACGCAAGCGAGGTTTTGTGAACACTATCGGGACGGCCGGGGATTTCGCTGCGCTGTCGTATGTAGCTCCGAAGTATTGTGTCAATACTCCGCCTGCTTTCGTCGGAGTTGTTGCAATAGAAGGATGCGAATCCCTCATCGTTTTTCCCCAGTGTACTGACTTTCGTTGCGGTCCCAGTAACGGTCTATGACTTTAGAGGAAAGAAACGTCTTTCTTGTTCCCACTGCGAAGCAAGCACTGGTTAGTCCATTGAAGGGTCCTTAGCACACTGTGACTCAATCTGTCCTTGCAACCATAGAACTGACGAGCTTGCTGAGTCTTCCCATGCGTGGAATTCGCGATAGTTTGTCAACCACTCGCATGTACCTCCGGTCCCTTTCTCGCGCTTCTCAACATGATGAGCTCCGACTGGAATAGTGCTGATGTAATTCATGGCAGCCTCTCTGTCCTTCTTCTCTAGCTTTTGTAGCACTTCGGCAACAATGCCGTCGAGATTCTCAAGCATCTTGCGATGCTTCTCGCTTGACTTCGCCTCGCAAGGGTGAGCTGCAGACTCTAAGTCCTTCTCGAGTTCTTTCATCTCTGACACTTTTTGTTCGCCATGACCAGGATTCACAAGAGCTTCCAGAAATCGGCGCCCATATCCCCTTTCCACCTCAACGTCCACAAAACAAAGGAATTCCAAACACGACTTATACACATCGACTAGCTTTTGCCTTAGATCCTCTTGGGCTGTGGACATTGACAGATCAGTAAGGCATACCTCTTCGTACACCTGTCCGCGTCTTACAAGGCGCAGCACCATTTCTGTGTTTCACATGATGGCAGCAATGTCTTCGCGTTCGGTAACGTTTGCCTTTGATGCTGTCAATCTACCAATTTATTGAAGCGCTGTCCACGTTGTGTAATATACCTCTAAAAGCACCTTAACACTTGACCAGATGATCGGAGAAGGCGCAGGAGCGAAGCTGATGGCGACATCCCCTATCGTTGTGACCAAGCTGACTACTCTTCCCGCGTAGTCTTTCCACAAGATCTCGCGATTTCTAACCGTCAGCTTCAGCGCCTGTTCCATATGTTCTTCTTCTCTACGGCGTACTACCTGAATGATTTCAGAAATGGTCGCTTTAGCATCTGTCTCCACAGAATTTTTCTTCATCCAGTCCAGGGTTGATTCGTCCACTTGCTCGCGCGCTTCCTGCCATAGGTCAGACTGTGGAAGTGGAGTATCTGCTGTGGCCGATGTTCGATCAGAGGTGGAGGTGATGAGGGCCGGCTGGTGTTCACTGCCCGTTGGTGATAGACCACGTGACACCACTGCGGATGATCCGAGAGGTTCAACATGGCCATTCGAAGGAGCAGATCTCTTTTGGGTCGTTGGAATCAAGCCCAACGGCCGGCCGCTTTCCTCAACAGGAGGTTCCGAGGTAGTCACCTGCTTGAGAGGCTTAGAGGCTTCTTGCTGCCCTTTGCTCCGTTTCTTCCAGTGAATGCGTAACGAGGAGAGGCAACCACCGCCAAAATTGGCAGCCATGCCATAGAATCAGGTATTAGTAGGGTTCCTACTTAGCGAGTAGATCTAGGAGGTCTTTTGAATCGCAGAACCAGAAGGATGATGGTTGATTCTTGGAGTCGATTGCCCATGTATCACTCATGCGTACTTGATGCGCCCGATCCTGCTGAGGTTCACTGCAATGCAAGATTGTAAATCTGGCATCGTTAGCGACGGGAAATGGCTGGAATGGGAAGTCCTTTGCGAAGCGCTCTCGTTGATCAGTAATATATGTGTGCTGGCGATATCGTGACCTGCATGTACGTGCGTCTGTAGCAGCATCGTCGAATAACATTGGCCAAACTCCACTAGAATGGTTCCAAAAGGCTTAGGAGTAAAATCCACTTCCTGCAGTGCTTGAGTCTGTGAGTCTGAAGCGAAAGTTGACTGCGGTTTGTCAGGCAGAGGGGGGATCAGACTTCTGAGCAGCAAAGTAGATTGCCACGTCAAGACGTCAATCCATGCTAGTGCGGCGGTTCATTAAGCCAGAATCGACTTCTCTTGCACTGGTTCATGCACGACGATCGGAAGCCGCCCGGGCCGAGAAGAAGCAAAATATGATAGTCTTATGCATCGTGCAATGGAAACGCATGATAGAGCGAGTCAGCGATGAGGTGAAGTCCCTAAAATCTGGAGGATGCCGAATCAATTGCCGAAAGTTCAAAAGCAGCCAAAGCGGTCTGAAAGTTTGAGTAAGTAAACCTTGCACGCGTGGCTCGTCCATCCTGAAGATTGATATGCTACTAACCCGGGACAGGCCATCTGCCACGTGAGAACAAAGACGAAAAGAAAGGGAGCAGATTAGTCAAAATAGAGCGTGGTGCAAGTGTAGCATTTCACGGACAACATCTGTCGTGTAAACCACTCGTGATTATGTGATGTTGCTGCCTCTTTGTAGCAAGCATCACAAGCGACAACATTAGGCGAGGTCATAATAGCGATAACTACAATAAAAGTATCACCATAGTAAGTATGTCTGCAATTCTACGTCGAAACATCATGATAGCCTGGCTACTGAAATATGGAGGTTGTCTTGGAGCTGGCAGAACTAGAACAGTCATTATCAATGCAACCACAAGTCCGGCTTCTAGCATGTATAAGAAACAAGTTGCAAAAAAGAGCCAAAAAGAGCAGTTTCAGTAATAAATCTTACCATTAAAATATGTCTTGATAAAAATAATCCTCTTTTAACCCTCTTTTCCTCGAAAAATCCCTATTCGCGTACCTATTGTGATACGTCCCATAGTAAAACGCCCAAACAAAGCCGCCATGTATAAAACCGCCGTGGTATCTCTCGCGGTGTACAACACATGATAACAGCTCCATCCATGATACGCCAAAAGCCGAATGCAGAGAGATGTGTTCCGAAAGAAAGTACACATCCACTACCCCACAACATCAATATCGCCATCCGCATCTAAGTCTCCATCCTCTTCGCCTTCAGCATCATCCTCATCACCTTCCGCATCATCCTCTCCCCCACCAGCACCAAGCAGCGGTCCCGGCAACGACCCCCTAACCCCCTCCCACTCCCTCGCCGCCCTCTCAGCCTCCCCTCCCATCCCATTCCTCGCGTAAACGCCCACCGCAATCCCACTCGCCACACCCATCCAAACCCCCCTCCTAACCTTCCCCGCCTGACTCCTCGCAGCCCTAATCGCCTGAATACTCTTCTCGCCCACGGTATCAGCAAAGAAGCGCGCGACGAAATAACACATCATCATAGCCACAAACTCAAAGTTGAGTGTCCTCTTGCTGATTTCCTGGGCTAGGCCGACAGCAGCTTGTACCGTCTTCTTTTGCTGGAGGATGGAAGTTGTGGATTCGGCATGAAAGGCGGCGATGAGGCGGAAGGCGATGCGGAGGTATTGGTTGGGGTGATCTTCGGCGTAGGGTTTGACTTGGGCTAGCAGAGATTGCGCTTGAGTGTGCTGGGGGTGGGATGGGTCGCGGAGGATGAGGAGTCGGTTGAGTGCTGCAGTCACCGCGAAATCTATTTTGGCTGGCGTTGCGTGCGCCTTTTCGGGTATGCCAAGGATTGGGGAGGAGTAAGACGAGAGGGAGGCGTGGAGGGGGCCATTAAGCTGGTCCGTTATGGCGGAGAAGTAGGTGAGTGTGCGTGCGAATGCTTCTTGGTTGTTGTAAGGAGTTGCACCAATCTTCTTTTTGAGGAAAGAGAGGGTGTCAGAGGCGGTTTGGGGTTCGTTGCGATTGTGGGCCATGAGACCAATGGCGAACATGGTGTACCAGTCTAGTATCATGTTTCACTCTATGCGTGCAAAAGCGATTGAGATCGGTATGCCGTTGAAAGTGCGTCGCTTTGCCGTTTCGCGGAATCGCTGGTGGGCTTCTTTCATGAAATTGAGCCCCTTTTCGTGGACGTGTTGATCCAGAGCGCAGATGTGAAAACATAACGCTTGCAAATCCTCTTTTGGGAGCCATGCAAAGACCAATTCGTCTTTTTGCTCTGCATTCTTTCTGAACACCCCAGCAGTGTCAAACGTGAGGTTACCCCCAAAGCTTCGCTCAATCAGAACAGTAAAGACGCTACTGTGTGAGCTTCTCTGATCGTTGTTGTCGCGTAGTATAGACTCGAGAAGGGCAGTGGACTTTTGCGGGTTTGGACTCCCTTTTTGAATACCACTGGCAATGTCGATTATATCAATGAGAGTGCCGAATGATCCCAGTTGCTTGGCTGATACCTCGAGTTGCAGGCTACGCGCTGTTGCAATGGCGCGCTGGACATTGTCTATCCGATCTGCTGCACCTGACCGCAGATGAATCATGGCTTCGAGCACATGACAAGCGACATATATGGCGCGGTCGCCTCGTCGACCTGCATGGTCCTGTATAGCATGGAGTTGCTGGAGAGCCAGTGTCACCTCTACACGACCCGGTATTTGCAACGCCAACGTGACTTTGAGAAAGCGCAGTGCATACACCCAAGCGATGTGTTGGAAGGTTTCCGCTTCTTGTATCGGTTTATCAAGTGACTTGAGGCCAGCGCGGTGATTGGTCTTGAACTGGTACCGCGCTTGAAGATGGAAAGCCGCGAACTTCAGATCCTGCAAGCGATGGCGTCCGCAGAGGGATATTTGCTTAGACAAAATCTCTTCGATCCGACTGGAGACGTCGGCAGCCTCAATGTCCGTCTCTTCAATGAGCAGGCTAGCATATCTCAACCGTAATTTCGCCTCGTCCCTAGGCGGCATGTTGAAGTCCTTCAATACAGTATCCATACATCCCATGGCGGTGGACATTAGTTTGTAGTACTGTCTCACGTCTGCCTCCTTTCTTTCCCGTATGAACAGCGATCCCATGCCTCGCGCAACCGCGATGTATTCGTCCGCAGCCGTGAGTAAAAGTTCCGAGAGCTCGGCGGGAAGCGCTTTCTGGGGGAGATGAGCACGCTTCGTGGGTGTGAGCTGGTGCGACGCAGAGGTTTTGGGAATAACAACCTGGGGGTGCATCCGCGGTTTTGAAGAGGGTGGTTGAGGGAATGGGCTGCCATACTGGCTCGATGGTGTTCGAGACGGCGGGAGAACGCGCTGTTGTTGGGGAGTCGACTGGGGCCGCGGCTGCTGGGGTGTCGACTGTGAAGGTCGCGGTTGCTGGGGTGTCGACGGTGGAGGTTGCTGCTGAGGCGTCGACAGCGATGGCATGCGCTGCAGCTGAGGCGTCAACTGCGACTGCGACTGCGACTGCGGCGGTACACGCTGCTGCTGAGGCGTCGTCTGCGGCTGTAGCGGCGCTCGATATGGAGCCTGACCATTCGACGGCGTGACAACAGGCCGCTGCTGCGGTCTTGGGCCATTCTCTTGATGCGAAGGTGATCGCTGTACCGGCTTAGATACAGGGGGGTTGGGTGGCTGCTGTGCGCTATATCGCCGTTGCTGGTCTCCAGAGCCATCTGCTTGCGCGATGCCTGCGCTGCTTGTTCGCTGTACGGGTACTTGTACATGTCGTATCCGCGGGGGTTGCATCTGCGGCATCTGCATGGGAGAAGCGTATTGGGGGTTTCTCGCGGGGATAATGACTTGAGGCTGCCGTTGATATTGCGGTGGCGGCGGCGGTTGCTGGGGTTGCTGGGGTTGCATTTGAGGAGGCATTTGCGCATATTGTTGGCTCATCGGTCGAGGCATACTGGGTTGTGGTGGTAGTTGGTATGGCGCTGGCTGTGACTGAGGATATCCCTGAGGCGTCTGCATCTGCATAGGAGGGTATTGGGGGTAGCCATGGTGTTGGTAGCCATTTGGCGGCGGCGGCGGCGGCTGCTGTTGTTGTTGCGGAGGCGGCGCATACGGAGGATACTGGTTGTTTGGATGGCCACTCGGATAGCCCTGGGGCTGCCAGTTGTATCGCGGGTCCATGGTGCGGAAGACTCAGCCAGACTGTCACCGGGAATCGAGATATGGGCGCTGCATTGTGGGCGAAGCGGGGTGTAACTGCGACGACGTGTAAAGGGCAGTCGCGAACTTGGGTAATCGCGAACGCGCGCCAGGTCACTTTAGCGCCATTGGCCGATAGACGCGCGCTTGCACACTACCACATGCAGGCTAGTGGGTAGACAGACCGAGGCCCCGTTCTTTTCCTACCGCATGTCGTGCATGTGTTTATCGCTGAGAAATAGTTTTGCCTTTCCTTCGAAATCGATTTGAACGGAAGCATCTTTAGTCAATTGGATCGCCTAGTATCAGATGCCAACCGGTAATTGATTTCACTGAATGACAGAAACGGTGAAAGAGCTAGGAACAAGACGAAAGACATATCTGAGGTGCCAAGTTGTACTCTCCATACGGCCGTACCTCCAGACCTGCAACGCAGATATCCACCTTGCAAACCTCACACCAAGTCCTCACCAGGCTGTATCCATCCCCTCACCCTGACAATGTCGTGGCTTCTAGGCCACAGCAAAACAACCTACACATCCCACTCCTCCCCAACACCCCTCGAAACCAAATCCGGCTCAAAAACCACCTTGCCAGAAATCGCAAAATCCTCAATCCCACCATGCCGTCTCAACCCTTTCCTCTTCAACGGCCACTTGCAGACCATGTACACAGCCGTCAAAGACCCAGGACCGCCCGTCTATTACAAGCGCCAAATCTTCGACTCTAACCACTCTGTCTATCCCGGAACTTTTGCCGTGGATTTTGTCGTCAGCAAAGAGGAGGGAGAGGCATCTGCTTCACGGATGAAAGACGGCAAGGATGATACCGAGCTGCCCGAACGAACGACAAACTTCACCACCAAAGAGTGGCAAGGAATCAGCAGCGACGATGACAAGCCAATGTTAATAGCGCTCCACGGCCTGACAGGCGGATCCCACGAAGTCTACCTCCGCGAAACCCTCTACCCGCTGCTAACCTCTTCGACGCAACCCTGGGCCGCCTGCGTCGTCAACGGGCGCGGCTGCGCGCTATCCAAAATCACCACGCCGCAGCTCTTCAACTCGCGCGCAACCTGGGATCTCCGCCAGGTCGTCACAACGCTGCACGATCTATTCCCCAACCGGCCTCTGTACGCCATCGGCTTCAGTCTAGGCGCCAACATCCTAACCAACTACTGCGGCGAGCAAGGCGCAAGTTGCACCCTCAAAGCAGCAGTCTCGTGTTCGAACCCTTGGAACCTAGAAGTCTGCAACACGACGCTGCAATCCACATACCTGGGCCTACACATCTACTCGCGTACCATGGGCAAGAACCTCATGGGCCTCTTCAAACGACACCGCGATCAAATACTGCAGAACCCGGGAATCGACGAAACCGCTCTCCTCGCATCCAAGTACCTCCACGAATTTGATCGACATGTCCAGTGTCCTACTTGGGGTTACCCGACCGAAGGCGCGTATTATCGGGACTCGCAATCCGTAGATGCGGTACTGGCTATTCGCATCCCTTTTCTGGGCATCAACGCCGAAGACGATCCGATTAGTAATAAAGCGGGCTTGCCGTACCAGGAGGTGTGTCAGAACCCGAATACGCTGCTTGTTACGACGGATTGGGGTGGTCACCTGGGTTCCTTCCAGTTGGGTGGTGGACGCTGGTTCGCGACTGCTGCTGCTTCTTTCTTGCAGAAGATGCATGGCGAGGTGGATTTTGAAGCTACGAAGGGTGTTGATGAGGGGAAGGATGTGAATATGGGAGGGCTGCAGGGAAAGAAGTATCCTATTTTCGATCCCAATCACAGGAGGCTGATATTGCCTGATGCTTAGACGTAACATGACAGATTGGGCAGCCTTGGAGAGTTTTGCATTGGATTGTGGAAACTTGTTTGGGGGTATCATAGACTTTTAGATATGCGTAGATCCTGTACAGCACTTTAGACCTCAATCTTTTTTTTTCCCGCGCCAAGAGCACAGTTTGCTGTTGTTCTTCGACGTGTGCTCTTGCGCTGTTCATCCCTCAACGTCGACCCCATCGCGTTCGTACACGTCATGCTCCTACCCCTGCCTGGATGTGCTGCGCCCATATCTGTACATGTCCTGTGACAGCTTCGTCCACACACGCGCGCAAGCTACCTCCCCTCAGCCAAAACTAACCCTCTTCCTAACCTTGAACTTCCTGTCCTTCTCCTTGATCTTATCTCCTTCTCTCTCGTCACCCTTGCCACCACCAGCGCCAGGCTCACTATGCCTCTTCCTCTTCTTCTTGAGGTCCTGTTTCCTCTCCTCAAACGCCAGGTCCTTGTCTGATTTCCTGCTCTCGGCTTCTTTCCGCTTGGCCTCGCGTATCTCTTCTAGCTGGCGGGCTTTTGCAATCTTGGACTCGAGGTGCCCTTCTTTTTCGGCGTTGACGACGGACATGATGGCCATCTGCGCGCACATGTCGTATTAGTACCCATAAGCTTGGAAAGTGAATTTTTCCTTTTGTATACATACCATGCTAGCCGGATCATCCACAAACTTCTTCCCCTTCTTGACACCCTTTGGTTTCGCAATGCCCGCGGGTATTATTCCATTCAAGGCCGGGATATCCAATTCCTTCTCTGAATAGACCCTCTTCTTTTTCTTCCCGTCTTTAGACACCAAGCTCTTGGTCTTTTGCGCGCCACCGGGCTTAGCCAGCGACATGGATTTCTGCTTGCGCTTCGAGATTCCTTCGGGCGCGCTGCCGGTAGGCTTTGAAGATTTCGATTTCGGTTTGTTGGCGCCGGACTTGGCTGGGCCGGATTTCCCTTTTGAGCCCTTGCCCTTGGTGGAGGGTTTCGAGGCAGCCATTTTGGAGAAAGAGAATGCGAAAGGTGGGTGGTGAGATTGGCGAAAAGTTGCAAAGGTTGGTGTGTCGCAAGCAAAGTAGGATCGTTTTGAGAAATTATGTCGGCGTTTTGGGGAGCTGCTAATGCCGACCGAACGGACGCGGAACGTCAAGCGCCAAAGGGTTGGCGCGACCTTGTGGACCTCGAGGCGCAACCTTGTGGAACCTCTAGGCGCAACCCCAACACCAGCTTCGCATAGCTCACACTCATCAACACCCAACACACCCGTCGCATACGTGCCCCCGAGTTCGAAATGGAGGACTCGAATCGCCTCTTTCGCTTCCCAAAGCCCGCGTGGATGAACAGCGCAAACACGCGAACAGCCGGCGTCTACATGGCAGGAGCCCTGGTGCGCAGCCTCACCTCACCTCACCCCCCAAACATGTCTGTGACTGGAGAAGCTGACGTTGCAATGTTGCACAGTTCGCCATGGGTTTCTACACCCTCATCGACATATCCACGTGGTCCAAGTCCGCCATGAACGGCTCCGACCCCCCCGTCCACATCACCTTCATTGACTGGATCCCCGGTATCTGCAGCGCCCTCGGCATGCTCGTCATCAACAGCATCGACAAGTCGCGCTTGTCGGCCGACAGCTTCTCATACTCTGGTAACGGGGTGGCGTGGAAGGCCAGGCTTGTCTTGTTCCTGGGCTTTGCCTTGTTGGCTGGCGGACTGGCGGGGAGTGTTGTGGTCATGGTGATGAAGTTTGTTGTTGTGGGACATACCTGGCCGACGCTTTGGTTGGGGGCCGGCAATGTAGTTGCTAATGGCTTGATTATGCTGAGGTGAGTACACGGTGATGCTGGGGTGTGCTTGGATGGTCACGGGATAACGGCTAACGTGTTGTAGCTCTGCTGTGCTTTGGGTTGCGCAGAACATGGAGGACGAGTATACTTACAACCTGGCGTTGTAGAGTGCTGGCGGAGTAACAGGCTAAGGTAATTCGACGGGGTGGGATGAGATGGTTATAATCATGTACGAGTATTCGGGAGACGGACGATGTTCGCTATGAGCAGTGTGTTGTGTTATATCCAGCTGTTCAACGATTTTGAGTTGATGTTCCAATACGGACAGCCTAAAGCGTCCTATGCATTATGTTCGATATACTTGTACAAAAACGCTCAGCAGACTATGGGTACAACGTAAACATGAAACAGCACCAATCTGTTCCTGCCAGTTTCCAGCATTTGCTGTCGAATCCCTCCATCTCACGCACGTTACAGAGTTGTAAGCGGCCCCTCATTCCTGAGTTCCGCCGGCTAGTCAGAAGTCTTCTTGCTCCTGGAAGAAGAGCGTAAAGCTGATGATGGTTGCGTATATCAACAGACCACCAAAGATGGACATGGCCGCCGCGCCGCCCGCGATTTCTGCCGAATGCCACAGCAGTGTTGGAAGGGCTGTGGACATGTTAGATGGCGTTTCCACGTTATGCCGATTGAGTGTACTCACCAATACCCATGACGACAAAGAAGCCCGTCAGAAACCTTCCGAAGTCGACGACGCCGTTGCCGGTGCTCTCCATAAAGTCATCGCGGTTCGCTGCTCGTCCACAGAGCCAGTTGGGCAGGGGCGCGATCACGTAGGTTGCGACAACGAGAAGCGTGAGGTAGTTCTTGAAGAGCGCGGCGGAGAGAATGACGAGGAGAAAGCCGATGGCCAGGACCTAGTAGCACGGCCGTTAGCGCAATCCCAGTGTGAAGATGAGGCGCGTGTATGCGACAGGCTGACGTACAAAGGACAGGCCTATGATGGTCTTGATGCCGGCCATGGTGGAGTCGAAAAGCAGAAAGGTCGTGTTTGTATAGTGCACGGGGGTTGCGCCGACGTGTCCCTGGTTGGATCCTCGGTCCGGCGAAGATGCGAGGTTGCTGTGATGGTGCGTCTTGCTCCTAGACGCCTGATGGTGAGGTTGCGTCGCACGCGCTAAGGCCCTTGCCAAGATTGGAGCTTCTGGAGCTCGTCGTCGTCAACAGGTCGGTGCCTCCAGCTGCAACACCGCATCGATACTACTCACCCCACGCCGCTGCGACCACACAGCCTCTTTCTCGCAAATAGCATCCAGCGGGATTGAATAAAGCCTCAAAGGGTATCCCACCATTGTAGACTACACAACCACAGACCCCACAATCCCACCTTCATCATGTTCAGGAACAACTACGACAACGACTCGGTCACCTTCTCGCCACAAGGCCGCATCTTCCAGGTCGAATACGCACAAGAGGCGGTCAAGCAGGGTTCAGTCGTCGTGGGCATTGTCAGCAAGACACACGCAGTTCTCGCAGCAATCAAGGTAACTAGGCCAACCGCCATGCCATGCAAACACCATCTAACGATGCCACAGCGAAATGCCGAGGAACTCTCTTCATACCAGAAGAAGATCATCCCGATAGATTCCCACTTTGGTGTCGCCCTCGCCGGTCTCGCCTCCGACGCCCGCGTTCTCTCCAACTTCATGAAGCAACAATCCCTCGCATCCCGCCTCACCTACGACCGCGCCATCCCCCTCTCCGAGATCACCTCCCGCATCGCAGACCGTGCCCAGACCAACACGCAGCAGTACGGCCGGAGACCCTACGGCGTGGGCCTGCTCATTGCCGGCGTTGACGCAAAGGGCCCGCATCTGTTCGAGTTCCAGCCCAGCGGTGTCACACAGGAGATGGTCGCATGTGGTATCGGCGCTAGGAGTCAAATGGCGAGGACATACCTCGAGAGGCATCTGGACGACTTTGAGAACGCTAGCCGGGAGGAGCTGATCAAGCATGCACTGAGAGCACTGAAGGAGTCGCTATCGCAGGACAAGGAGTTGACTGTTGACAACACCAGCGTCGGCATCAGTGGCGTCGGCGAGGACTTTGTACACCACGAAGGTCAGGATATCGCTGAGTGGTTGGATGCTACGTTTGAGAATAGGGAGGGCGGGGATGAGGCCGAGGGTGGAGAAGCTATGGAGGAGTAGTGCAGTGTGGCAGTAGGCTCGACTTTACTTTAGCTACACAGATGACCACTGTAGATCACGATGTAGCCGTCTGGCTATGAAAATAATGAACATGACTTCAGATGACGTCCAAGAGCAGCTTTCTGCACAACTGTTTTGACATGCTAGAGAGATGGCGCCCAGCGTCCAGTTTACCTCCAAACCCGTTCTGCACGTGACCTTGAGCTCCGCCCGGCATGCGCGAAATCTCGCCGGAGCTCAGCACTTGCACCTCACCACCGCACCTCACCCGCCCACACCCACCCACGAAACCCCAACGAACCTACCATCACAATGGCATTCGCGTGGAAAGCCGCCGGTCTTACGTACGCATCCGCCCCTACGCAATCGCCCACAGACCCTGCTGGAGCAATTGGATAGCGAGGACCAAACGACTGACAGCCCAAATAGCTACAACCGCTACATTGCCGTCGCATCGCGCGTCGTGCGCCGCTCGCTCAAGGAGGACAAGCGCATTGCTGCTGAGCGCAGGGGCGAGAGCGAACTCCGATTCGCCAAGTGGGAGGTGAGTCTACACTGCATACGACACGGCACAAGCGGCGGGCGAGCATGGAGATGGGGCGGATGAGAGGATTGGGGAAGGGCAATTGGGGAGTTGGGAGATTGTTTTCCCAGGACCCGGGAGTGTACGAATCCAGGACGTTGGGCTAACGACATGGACAGAACGGCAAGCAGGGCGAGATGAAGGACCTCAACGCTGCGGCTCTCCAGGCCCAGGCTGATGCTGCCAAGACCTCGTAAACGATGCGATGGACAGAGAATATGTAGTTGCGGCTGGCTATGGAGATGATGGCACCGGGCCAGGGCATGGAATGGACAAGTTGACGAGAGCTGATGGATGCATGCTATGTGCCATCAAGGCTGGAAAGGGGAATTAAAGCCAATGCACAACACCAATTGAGCTGACATTCACTTTCTCTCTCTCTCTCTCTCTCGAAAATCCTATGCGCTTTGTGATATTGATGTGACATCGCTTGTCGTGATTTGGAGTATCGTTCGTTGCGTGAGCCTGACATGGAACGCGCATGTACTACTGGCCTGTCACAAATCTTTGCCCGCATCGGCATCCCGCGAACTCCACCACAACCATGGCAGATGCACCTAGCAGCCACAACAGCACAGCCCCCGCTCCAGACACGGGTTACGAAGTAGATGGTGCTGGTAATCCTCCCTTTTATCCCCTTTATCCTTGATAAATGATCAAGAATATCATGGATGTTGATGATTAAGTCAGGTCCCTCACATACTGCGCAAGAGTCTGCGCCTACTATCCAGCCGACTACTTCTGCTAACTTACCCTTGAGACAATCAAGACAGCATGTGGGAGGGACGCAGCCAAAGATTCATGACGTGACGGAAAAGTTCACGAGGGCTTGTAATGGTATGCGTAACGACCAAAAGGTTGATGGTGATGGGTGTGGAGGAGGGGCATGGCGGGGCTACCCTACGAGCATCGTCATGTCGTTTCCTACCAACCATCATCATCTCGAGATGAAAAAGTTGAACTTGGCTAACTCAGAAAAACTCTCACAGCTCTCGAGGTCGGTCAACTCGTCAAAGATGAATATTTTACGCTTTTTGAATCCATTGGGGCTATCGAAGTACGTTCTTGCCAACGCGTCCTTCAACCCCCATTCCTCTTCTTTCCTGCAATATACTCACATATGCCAATAGATCATGGACCCTAAAATGGATTCGGGCTTCCTTGTCCCGGGCGAAACTCTAGAAGATGACTATGATACACTTACCCCCCTCCTCCCCGAGGAATTAATAGGCATCATGGACCAACTACTCTGCTACGAAATGGCCTGGCACACGGGCTACCCTCTCTCCCAAACCCTCTTCACATCCGTCTACATTGACAAGCTACTCTGGCCCGAGACCAAGATCCTCTCTCAAGCGCAGTTTTTCCGTGGAGACGTGGCGGATGAGAGACGGCCTGGCCCGTTGTTAGACATACTTCGAGCGTATTGTCTCGCGGTGATCAAAGGGTGTGATTTCGTGATTGCCAAAATAACTGCCAGGGATTACTTTGAGGAGGAGGATTTTTGCACGCATACCTACAACCGGGTCCTATTTGTGGGCATGCCGATGGATGTCTTCCTCCGCGAACTCGATGCGGCTATCGACACAATCGCAGACGCCGCCCTTGTCGACATCAACGACGCCCTCCGCCAAGCCATCATCTCGCGCCTCGAATTACGCAAATATCTCCTGCGCGCCCTTGACCTGGATCTGCCCCTAGATCAGACATGTTATTCCTGGCCACCCGTGCTCGAAGGCATCGAGCGGCTGAAGAGTACGCATCAGCTGGGGAAAACGGTGCCTGGGGCGTTTAGTCCAAAGATGCAACGTCGACTCGCTTCCACGGTACCTCCACGACCGATTGTAGACTTGGTCTTTTCAGACGCTGCGGACAAGCTGAAGCAGCTTGCCACGGATTGCCACGAAAGCACGCGCTTTCCCTTGTTACCCCAGGACCCGCTGGAATACCAAGCGTTCCTCTGGCACTACTCTTCCCGCTCGCCGCCACCTCTGACATACTCGAGGTCGTATCTGGCCACACTGCTGTTCCATCCAGAAGTGTTAGAAACGTCCGTCTCCCTGCCACTGGCGGATGTCAAGAGTCTTGTGCTGACGGCGAGTCCGGTGCTGGATCCGATGAACTGGACCTTGTCTCCGCCGCGGAACGCGCTACTGCCCAAGCCACCCAAACTGATGTTTGCCATGCTCATTGACGAGTTTGTGGAGAGGACGGGACAAGCGTATCTTGATCTGTGGGTTGCCATGAGCCAGAATAGATGTCGGGTAAGACGCATGTTGACACATGTCATCACGGGGTGGGATCTACTGCAAGCAGATGCTAGTTCCATTGACGTGGACATTTCCACCGCGGCCGCAACGATCGGTGCCGACGTGGGGAGCCAGGTCATGGAGTTTGGGCTGAGCACGTGGGTGTACCACAAGAAGCTTTGGATGGTGGAAAAAGTCATCCTGCTCGGTTTCGAACAGGATATATACCTCCCTGACGAGTACGCTGGCATGTATCTCTTCCTCGGCCTCATCGCTACAAGAAGGAAGGAGCTGTTGAGGAGAGTCGAAGCACACTACATTGTCCTATCGTCATCCTTGCTCAAGGAGAGACGCTTCAGGGAAGTACAAGACGTCGAAGATGCGCAGCCTTTCCTCGCTTCTCTCCTCGCTGGTGCCGAGGGAACGGCAGAGCTGGCACTTGCCATGGCACGTTTCTACATCATCGCGTTGTACATGGGCAAGTTGCCCATGCCGCGCCGCACCCCTTTTTCCACAGACAAACTCCGTTACGAAGTTCGCATGAAACCTTTTCTCGCTCTCTCACCGCCTGAAGCACCGCCTTTTGAAGACTTTCAAGCACACAGCCAGCCGTATGGCCCGCCTCCGCCGTCATTGGCGGATCCACCGCCTGAAGCCTTTGTCAGAGACGTGAGGGATGAGGAGTCGAGTCTTTGGAAGGAGGTAGACACACATCTCAAAGCGGCCAAGGCGGCGTTTACAGAGTACAAAAAGCTAGGGGCTGAGGCTGCAAAGGCGAAAGGTGTGGAGGCTAGTTGGAGCGAAGAGGTCAAGAGTCTGTTGGCGAGCTGTGTTAGTCTTGGACTGGCGGTCAAGGGGATTAAAGATGCTGTTATGGTTGGAGATGAGGGGGTGGAGGTGGGAAAGCGCATTAGGATTGAGATTCCGGAGGCGGGGGCTGGGAAGAGGTATGCTGAGGGATGGATCGTTGGGAAGGTTAGTAGGGTGTAAGCGGTCGTTCGGGAGGTGGTGGGTACTGGTGGGATGAGCTCCACTCGGATCGCCCTACTCATGTACAGATACCTGAGCCCATTATTACACCAACTAGACCAAAAGCGGTGCAGGCTTAAAGAGCCTGAATCCGGTACCTGACAAGACCTAAGAATATCCATATAACACTGGAAGGTATGGAGTACTTTTGAGCAAGACAGATGTCGATTAGCAGGAAACATTTCACGCACCGACTACTAGATCTAAGATAACATGCGATATTCTTTCCCTCCGCCTTGAGCTCAAACCAATCATCCCTTGGATATACACACTGTCTTCAATCTAATCATGTATGAACGTGAGAAGTAGGAAATCTTTCCTCGATGCAGAGTACACTTTGCTGCTCAGCGGCGATACTATTTGGTGTGCGATTTGTATTTCCATTCAAACCGCCTCATGAACTGCTATGCACCTCTCGAAGCTTTGTCAACTCTGTCCGCACCTCATAGGCAACGCTCGTGCCTTCCTCAATTGCACCGTCAATGAAACTCCTCCAACCAAGTGCCCAATCCGAGTTGGCAAACAGCACATTTCCGTGCCTCTCCCGCATATCATCCAGATGTTTTGCAAGGAAGCCAGGAGACGAAAAAAACCACGCACCCTTTGCAAACTCATCTTTCGACCAGTTGTGGAATACTAATCTCTCGATGTTAGGCTGGTCTTTCTGCTGCACGAACATATTTGTAACTGCACGCTTAGTTGCGTCAATATCGTCCTCAGGATCAATATGTTTGTTGCTACCGCCAAAGCAGACGATATGTGTATTGCCTGCAGGTGTTGTTCCGTCGCCAATGGCGTACATGAGCTCATTGTGCGGATAAGCAACGCCTGTCCAAGAGCGGAGATCCTTGTTCGACACCTCTGCGTGAACTTTGACGCATTGATTGACATGGCCTGTTGCGATAGCCTTTGTTTTTCCAGCACAAAGGGGTGGATCGAAAGTCACCTCGCCCAAGACGTTCAGAGGCATTGCTGAGATCAGTCGCGCTGCATGGTACCGGCGGCCATCCCGTGTCGTGACTTGCACTTTTCGACCCGTATCCTGAATGTTGTTCACCGGGCTGTTGAAAGCGTATGCGAGACGCTTCGTTGCGAGTGCTTCCTGAAAGAATTTGATTGCGAAGCTCGATTGTCCACCCTTGAATTTCCAGGTGATAAGCATGTCTATGCAGCCTGCGTAGGTGTAGCCACAGAGGGCCCACCAATGCATAAATTCGAGAAAGCTCGTTGTCGCAAGAGTGGCCCCACTACATAGCAGGACGAAGGATTCGACGGCGGCACGCTCCTGCGGCGATAGTGATAGTGCAATCGCATCAATGCGGTCTTGAGCGGAGACATCATCGAGGTGCGTCGCATTGGCAACGTGGAACATGTCGTAGGGTAGAGGAATCATGTTTCTCCCATAAGCTCCATCTATGTTCGTGAATTTGTTCAATGCCGCGATAAGTAGTGCATCCTTGATCTCATCAGTAACATGACCCTGTCTATAGCGATATCTTGGAAACAGACCTCCTCGTCATGGCTCATGGTAGAGCCTTCAAGCCCAATATTCAGTTCATAGTGATTGACACCATGGGAGAAATCAAACGACTTCTCCACCTCGTTCATCATCTGATATCTTACAATCTCTCTCCAAGTATTTGACTGGCCCCAATGCACCCATGTACCTCCCATCTCAAAAGGGTAACCTTGGATGTTTGATGACCACGATCGGCCGCCAATGCGATCCCGGCCTTCCAGTAGCAACACTTTCAACCCTTCCACCGCGGCGTTGCGCGCGGCTGTGAGGCCGCAGTAGCCAGCGCCAACAACGATGACATCGTAGAATTCTTCTTCCGATTCCGAAAGGTTGGTAGAGGGTGTTATGACGCCGAGGGACGGCACGCCAGCTTTGAGGCCGTCGGTGGGTGTCCATGTGTAACCATCGCGAGAATCCATCTTCCGACGAGAAGTAAATCGATGAGACAATGTGCTAGCAAGCGTTGTAGAGTCCTTGGGAACTCGCAGGCTTAAGTAGCATTTCTTCGCAAGTTCTATCGTGTTGATCCATTTTGGCAGTATGCACGACTAGAGGCAAATGCCAGGCGGAGTGAACCTTCCATTTCGGGGCATTGATGTGAGAAGGCGATAGTCACTGCGCTACCGTGTGGATCAAAAAAGGTCCAAGCTCGGGCTATCGTGAGAAACATATGAGACTATGCTATAATAGTGGTCGTTTGATGGGACGATGATTCGGTGTTTGGAGTTGCTGAGTGGGGTGTTTCCTCGATCTTGTAGTGTCATACTACTGTTCGGCCCATCGTTGGCGAATGCATTCAGTATGTGGTGGGGTAGTAATATGCAGCTAATCTGTCTTGGGTCTAGCAGTTTCTCCGATTAACAACCTAATCGGGACTGGGCGTGTCAGCGCTTCTTCTTTTCACAATGTCTCTCGTTACATGACGACCGCGCACACTACATCGAAGTTTTTTAGACCCCTGTTCATGAGTAGGGCGATCCGAAGGAAGCTCATCCCACAAGTCAGAACGCGCTCGTGTGATGCCGATCCAGGTCTGCCGTCGCGCAGTCTCGATAAGCAAACACGACAGAGTCCCTGTGAGGCCAAGTGCGCTAAGCAAGACGTCTTCAATAAGATTATAGGATGCAAGCATCATAAAGACAAGCGTACCAATGCATGAGACGCCAAGTCTTTCAATCATATGCCTTACATGGCCAATACGCTCGACAATCGAGGGAGACAGACGGTCCAGCGTTCTCCGTACGCGCGTGCCCATATGTTTCGCAGACTCTGTATTGCAGTAGGGATATTACGGAACTGCGTACGGGTATATATGTGCTCCATGCGGTGAACAAGAAATTCTCTTTGACTTTGGTCTGTCGAAGCTGCTCCAGCAACGAAGCAAACCCAGACCAGTGCATGGGCGCCACGAGCGTCAGGCAAGATCTTTGATACCTTATCGATGAGTCGCTGGATCAAATGTGTTTGGATCGAGTCAGGGAAGGTTGAGATTGCGTTGACATTGGCTGCGGTTCCCATATATATGTCACATGCGGAAAGGAAACACTGCCGTATCAGATCCGCAAGACGTCGATCCTCGCTGTTCTCCGGGAGATGCGGATATGACAGCCAGCTCATCAGAGACTCCGAAGCTCTCATTGTCGTGAGTAGGCCCATCTCCTCGCCAAGGAGTGGTATCCCAAGCAATTCAAACCTGCCAAATGTCAGAAGCAAAATTGTCGTCTTCTTGGGTACATACATGTGGGTTTGCGCTTGCAAAAAGTTGAATAAGACGGGGTTGGCGTCCCGACCAGGTTTGCTCATGGACAAGCTGAGCAGCATCTGAATCAGAAAGCCATAGTCCGCACTGCCTGTTACGGTCTCGCCCACTAGAAGTACAATCAGAGTAGCCCACGTGAACTTGTTGAACACTTTATCCGCAGACTGCTTCAAAGAGTCGCAGCGTAAGCGTGAGATGACAGCGGTGCGTTCAGCTTCAGCTGCTCTCTGGAGTTCGGGTCTCTGACGACTTAGATGTTGCGCAGCGACAACGTTCACCGCCCGACAGAGGACTTCATCCTGGATTGCCATAGGAAGCACTAGTGATCGATATCCATTTGTGTCGTCGTCAAGCACAACCATGACCGGAGCTACAAAATCGGAGACTGTATTGGAGTCAACGAACGTCTAGGATTGAAGCAGAGAGGATATAGCAACATACAATACGAAAGGAGCATTCGTAATTCTGGCGCTATCGGTGCAATCCAAGGAACGACATCGTAGTGCTGGGGATACGCCTTGACAACAGGATGTCCACCTCGACAGATGTTTTCCAGTCCGTCGTTGTCTTCTCCATCGATCGTGGCTTGCTTAATGGAGGGAACTGTTGGACTTACACCGTCCTCTAATTGGCTTGGTGCAAGGAGTTTTGGCTTCATTGCTATCCTTGCGGTGGTGCTCTTTCTTACATCACACTGCTTCTTCTTCGCTGTTTCTTCGCCTGGCCAAAGTAGTGCCGTCTGGAATTTGGTAGTGATCGGAAGCTCCTGGCATTCATCATTTCCTCCAGTTCTAGGGATCTTGCAATCCTTCAAACGACCCCTTCTAGCCACTCCTGCAGCGAATCGAATTCTGCCAAGTCCAGAGCACTCGATACCCTTCTTCGCGCATTTGAGGCACGATGGCTCGTTTCTATCGCAAACGATTCTACGTCGTGAACACTGGAAGCAGCCTTGTTCTTTCTTCATAGCCGCTGATGCAGGCATATTTGCACCGCTGTCTCGTAAAGTGGTGTGGCAGGTTGCAGATCGGAAGGTTCGGAACCATTGATTCCAGGGAGGAAGAAGCTACGCGTGCCTCGCAGATTAGCCACAACGTGGGCGCACAGCCATTGCAGTATTTCACTGAGCTCAGCACGCCAGTGAGCATAGATATGCGACCACACTCGCGAGATTGTTCAGCTTGGGACGTACGCGATATGTCAAAAAACCGTAGGTATAGGAGCCAAAATATGTAGATGCAGTTGCGCGAAAGTATGAGCCGAGGTTGACGCTTGCCGATTCAGCGCCAGCGCCACCACCTCTAAGCCTGGAACGCCCGTCGCACGCAGCGTCACTTTCGACCACTCGTCACACAAGTAGGGCGGATATCACTAACCACCATAATATCGCCAGGAGCAGGCGCAAACTTGCGAGATCGCTGCCGTTCAAATGGGGAGAAGTTACGCGCAGCATCGAGAAGGCGTCAATAGCAGCTTGCAGCCCATGCCTCTGTTTGCGCCGTTGGCCCTTCATGGTTGTAGGCTATGGCGCACCAATGCGCATATTGAAAGGCTGTGAGTCAGTGAGTGTATAGCGTCTTCAAAGGACGGGTGAACTGTGTACCAACCTCGTCGCTCGTTGCATCGCATCGCTAGTCAACAAAAGTAGACTCTGCCTCACATTTTCGCCTAGCATTGCTCAATCGTCACCAAACGATCTAAGGAAGTAATGAACCCGCCTCAGCTGATAGACGCTTTCGTGATTGGGGCGCAATGGAGCGGCCATGCGCTGTTGAGCGTGGCTACCAAATGGTTGCCTGTCGACGCCATGCGCGCCGTTCAAGTGCTCGTGGGCCACCCTCAGTGGTTGAGCTTACCCTTGCGCCTGCCGCCATCAAACACAGCCCGCAGGCCGGAATCTCATACAAGCCTCGAATTCGCACTGCCATGGACTTTCCGGCCGCAAAGTTCTTCCATCCTTTGATGATTCAATTCGCACTTTTTCTCTCCACTGGCAGGCTTTACAAAACTACCAGCAACGCCAGGCTGCAACTGAGCAGCCCGATCTTGCACACGATACGCACCTGTAAACTTCATAAATAAGAGCTTTTGGCATCGTCTCTAGCCTTCAGAACTATGCGCTTGATTCATACTCACAAAGACGGAACTCTGGAGCTACAAGAGTTCCATAAACACGACATTCCACCATACGCCATCCTCTCTCACACATGGGGCGACAGCGAAGTCGCATTTGTGAACTTCTACAAAGAGACATCAGCATCCCAGCAAGGCTACAAGAAAATACTTTTCTGTCGCGAACAGGCACTGAAACACGACTTGCATTACTTCTGGGTCGACACATGCTGTATCGACAAGCGGAATCATGCTGAGCTTTCTGAAGCTATCAATTCCATGTTTCTGTGGTACAGCAGAGCAAGCAAGTGTTTTGTGTATCTTTCGGACGTATCTTCGCTGGATCCTATAAGCGGCGATATGCTCCCGAGCCATGTTTGGATAGAAAGTTTCCAGCGAAGCCGATGGTTTACAAGGGGATGGACGCTGCAAGAGCTTATAGCACCTGGATCGGTCCAATTCTTCTCATCTGATGGTCATTGTCTGGGCAACAAACGTTCTCTGGAACTCAAGATCACTCATATCACTGGTGTGCCGACGGACGCACTTAGAGGTCATCCTCTTCGTGACTTTTCGGTACTTGAGCGTTTCGCCTGGGCAGAATATCGGGATACAGCCAAAGAAGAAGACAAAGCATACTGTCTTTGCGGGATCTTTAACGTCTTCATGCCTCTACTTTACGGAGAAGGGGAGGAAAAGGCGCGCAAGCGACTCGAGAAGAATGTCCGGGAATTGCAGGATGAAGAGATCGATGCACAGGGTTATCACTCTGGCGATGAATTGGGCCCATCCGCCTTTTCTGGCGGCTACAAGGCCCATGCCCGTTTGCACAACGTCAGGAGTATGGGTACCTTGAGGAGAAGAAGATCTTACGACAATGGTTCCGGAAAGTCGCAATCTCGCGCAACGACGGCAGCCCTTTTTCGGAAAGCAGCTTCCAATCATTCGAATCTACTACTGTTAAATCCTTGGCATCAAGCGCTTTGTCTTCCTAGGAACATTGCAAACGGATCTGATGCCAAGTCAATTTTCCGCGGAGCACATGCCTCCTTCCTTAATGCTGTTTACTGGGACGAATGGCCGCGTTTCGAGACATTTGTAGATCGTCAGGAAATGATGGCTGATATTCGCGGTCACTTCCAAAACCTGAAGCATTCTTCAAGGTTGATGACAGCCAGCGAAGTTGTGGACGACTTTTCGTCGCGTTTGGCACACTTTTTCCCGGCTGCAAGTCTTGCTATAGGAGTTGATCCAGAGTGGTCCTGCACGCTCTGGGGAGCAATCAGATTGTTGTTTGTGGTAAGAATGAGCATAGGAGTATGTACGAGAACCATTGCTGATAGATCGCAGCGAAGTTTGAATTTCCCAAATCTGTTTGAGCGGCTGGCTCACCTGCTTGGTCGGATCAGACAAGAGTTGCCCAGTTATCAAGACTACGTAGGACGTGTCGAAGCTGATCCTCGAGGGCTGGACAAAGAAGCACTTGGGAAAGCGTTAGCCTTCGTGTACGCCGATATACTTCGCTTCTGTCGTGATGCATGCCGATTCTTCAGCACTCGATTCAGTCGTAAGTGTGAATTGCTAGCCACTTGTCCGTGTTAATTTTTGCTAGATCTTGACCAGACGCATGACGCTACCATGGATGTACTGTCTGTCCCTTTCAAACTTCGGTTCGAGAGCCTGATCGCAAGACTCCACGAGCACAAACTTCTTTTCGCTATTGAGCTTAGAGCAGGAAAGCATGGATCTTTGAATATATTCATAGATAACGTTGTCGAAGACCTCAGAAAACGCGAAGAATACTTCCAAAGTCGATCAACTATGGGAAGGTTAGAGAAGGAGAGGGATGACTGCCACAGTAAGCGCGCAGAGAACTATCACTTCAGATTACGTGACAGTTTGCTAATTATCAAAGGCGCTAATTGTACTACCGGTGTCAGATGGATTCTGCCCCCAGATTTTCATGCAGAGTTTGACAGGGCCAAGAATGCTAGAAGTCCAGGCTCATGTGCTTGGCTTCAGTCTTTGAAGGTCTACACAATGTGGAAGGAGTCGCTATATACGGATGACCTGCAAACTACAAGCAGCCGCAGCTATACGAGACAACACAGCTGCCCTCCTATTCTATTACTTGAAGGTAACAGATCCACAACTTGTTACAATGACTCTATTAACGCATTGCGACAATAGGATCTGCTGGTTATGGGAAAACTATCCTATCAACAGCCATGATTGAAGACCTACAGTCGGCTGTCTCTCCCAATAAGATGACAATCAACGAAGATCCGCACGCAAGCATTATATACTTCTACTTTAATGCCCAAAAACCTGGGCATAGAAGCTTTTGTGACGCGCTCCGAGCGGCAGCAGCGCAGCTTGTCGAAATTCTCGCTGGAGACTCCGCTATTATGGACCTCCTGTCCGTATTGAAGTTGCAAAGTGATGGCAGCCGACGTATAGCTACCGAGCATGAGCTTTCAGAGTTTCTGCTACTCGCTGTCCGAAGTATACCCTCTGTAGCCTTGGTATTCGATGCTATTGATGAGTGTCACGATGTTGAAAAAATGTGGCCTTTCCTTTCTGCGGCTTGTAGTAGCACGAAGATAAAATTCCTCCTCCTCGGCCGACCTCAGATCCCGGTAGATCCCGACCTCACGCATCTTGTTCAAAGCGAAGGGCTTCCTCGAACCAACAGGCTGGACATCTATGCTTTTCTGGTTCGCGAGATCAAATCGATGCAATATCGCGGACAGCTGGATGATCGTGTACTTGCAGAGCGTACAGCGGACACCCTTGCTTCATGCGCAGATTCTAGCTTCCTTTGGGCAAGTTTAATCATGTCTTACCTGCAAAGTCCAGTACTCAGTCTCAGGGAAAGAAAACGTGAGTTATGGGACCCTAATCGGCTCGTCACGATGCCCCGGCTCTACTCCGGGATGCTCCAACAATTCGAGGCACTATATCCTCAGGATCGCGATTTGTTAATCAGAATCTTCCGCGTCCTTGTGCTGTCGAAAAGACCACCGACAATCAGGGAGCTTGATGTTGCCATATCAGTGGAGCCAGGACACAAGCTATCGAGCAAAGGTAATCGTGAGAATGTGATGAATACCCTCCAGAGACTATGTGGGGCGCTGGTCGATATCGGGCCAAACTCTACCGTCTCGTTCTCGCATTTGTCCTTTCGAAGTTTTCTACTGTCAGAAGAAGCTATGGACATGAAAAGCCAATTTCGAATTGATCGACAATCGAGTTCTCTCTGGATCTCTCAAGTATGCTTGTCATACTTGGTCCATGACGTGCCGCAAACACCACTGAGCGGAGCGCTTGATACCGAAGCTGATAAGCTAGTGTTGGCAGAGGAGCTACCATTCTTAGAATACTCTGCTCGCCATTGGGTTGAACACATAGTTGACGCCTTGCAACTTATGTCCAATACGTTGCCAGAGCTAATATCTGAGTGCTACCCACTATTACAACAACTAGGTAGCTTACTTGGCCAGAAGTCCTCGATCTCGGCTTGGATTGAAGCTTGCTGGACTTGGGGCTTTCAACCATCTGTCGAATCACTTTGGTACGAACTTGAGAGAAGACTGGAACGTCATGATACAAGATATCAGCGAGACGCAAGACAAGCGCAAATCAGAAAACCGCTCGACCATATCCATGAATTGTCAGAAGATCTTGAGAAGCTTCAGCAGCATTGGAGCCACCTGCTGTCTGTCCGGCCATACGAGATTTGGGGCCCAAGCGTTTCCGCATATCTTGGACAAATGTCTTGGGCATACAACCACGAGGCCAAGGTCGCTATTATAACGGGAGATCGAGGAAGATATGATTTGGGAGAAATGATCCTGAAAGCGTCAAAGCTGTCGGGATGCGGCAGTCTTCTGGGTGTGTTGAGAGTCTTCCGCTCTAGTAAGGAAAGGTATGTCTAACAGTCCGACGATCTACTAGGTTCATATTGAACTAAGCTTTACCAGCAAATCCGGAGAAAATCTACCATGCCTGTATTATGGAAGATGTATATGCTCACCACCATGCAATCCCCTAGGAACGTCTGTCGATCTCAAAGACGCAGTAGCTGATTATCAAGTTCTACAAATGACTGAAGGATTTCCAGCCATTAGGCACTTCAGTGTGTATCTTGATTCGGAGGACCTTCTCGAAGTCGAATTAGCAGCGAAGGATCAGAAGTTTAGATTTCCCGTCAGGTTCGCGTCCGACATGAGCCAGATCTCAATCCTCCGTTCCGTCTACTGGGTAGATAGCCTGGGGACAGTCATGAGCCAGAAAGTTGGCTTGAATCCTGCTGCTCGCGACAACAACCAAGATGTAGCAGCAGAACCAAGGTCGCCGAGGCCATCTGCGACACGCGCAAAGTACCGTAGGCTGTTCACGCCATGTGGACGGTATCTAGCACATCTTGAACGGCACAACGATTTCAACGACTCCTCTGAAGGTCTTTGGACCTTTGGAATCTGGGAGAAAGAAGCCTCAGATATCCAATTCATGGGCGGGTCTGCTTGGCGACAAATTGCAACGTTGGAAGATGTCTACGGAGACTTCCTGATTGACGGCGATATCACATTCAACCCTCAATACCAGATGATCGCTTTGATGAAGCTTGTACCTTGGCGTTTGGGCGAGATGAACATGACGTCCATATGGGATTTCCGAGCCATTCCTTTTGGCTTGTGCAATGATGAGAAAACAACGAAGATGGTATACGGAACGGGCCTCCGAAACCTCAGTTTTTCACCTTGTGGAAGGTTTCTCTCTGGGGATCACTTCCACTCCAAAGAGAAAAGAGTCGTAAACATAGAACGGTTCACGGCAGTAGCTTTGCCCCTAATGTTGCCGATCTCAGATGATCTGAGTAACTTCGGAGACCCGATTAGTCGGACCTTGCAAACCCCTACGAACTTTGCCAGACATTCGTTCTCGACAGAATCAGAACAGATCTATTCTACTGCACAAGATCGCAATCGCGAGGCGCCGTCCTCCAATGCACTCACACTTGGCACACGAGACGGCAAGCCGGTACTCCAGACGATACGTACATACTCCGATGGTGCAGTGGTCTTGAAAAGCTATTCTTCGCTAGTCAACACTGAGGAGTGTTTGCTCTACCTTCCAAACGAAACACAGAAGTCTGTCTCTGCGACAGTACTACACAACGACGGTGATCCAGATAATGTTCGGATAGTTCTTACGCCGATCCTCCGAGACACATATAAATGGGGCCATTCGTTATCCTGCCAATCTGTTACTGTAATCTCTCGTCCCATTGGATCAATACAGCGATACAAAGTACCACATGGCGATAACAGGCGTCTTACTGCAAGTTCAAACCATCAGAGTTGTTATTCTCTGCTAACACGTACAGGATTACCACGAAGGCGAGCTTATGCGAATGCCGACATTGAATGGAGAGAACCTTCAGATGCTCGAAAATTAGAAACTCTGTGTCTGGAACAAGCTATAAATCTCAAATCGCGTCTATACTATGTGGCTGCAACGATGTTCTTTGTGAAGAACAACGAGCGAACCCCAGGAGGTCGTGGCTGTAACATGAAAACTCTTTTGTGTATCTATCAAGCAAGCTGCAAGGCGCTTCCGAGCTTCTCTGCAACAAGATTCTCACTCAACGTCCATAGTCTTTGTGCCTTGTCTTTGCTATCTGCATACGGCGGCACATCCGTGACTTGACAGTCATTCAAGAATACACCTTTCCCCGGCGTTAACTCTCGATCTAGCGCAGCTACTAAGGCGGTTGCAGTACCTTGATCGATAGTCTTCTCGAATGGATCTGGTAATTTTGCCTTTTGCTCTTTGGCCATCATGTCCGACACCTCGTCCGTTGCTCGAGTTTTCACGCCTCCAGGATGCAGCGCGAAAGCAAAGATACCTTTGTGTGAGAAGAGTGTGTTCTAGTTAACAGCACATAGTACATTAGCTGTTTTGTTTTGTCCGTACGCGATCCATGCGGAATAACCTTCGTGCTCCCCAAAGCCGAATATCTCCTTGATAGGAGCCCAATTTGGGGCTTCGTCCTCCGGGACAACGTTGCCGTCGAAATTGTAGTCCGCAAAGCGGAACGGAGATATATGCAGTGCGGTGCTGTTGATCACGATTACACGTGTGTCTCCAGGTACCGAGTCTTTTGCTGCCAGGCGGAGCGTCGGGAGTAAATTGGCGACGAAGAGGAAGTGACCGAGATGATTGATAGGAAAACTCGACTCCAGGCCATCTGGGGTGAGTTGTCTGGGACCGAGGAAGGCGCCGCCAGCATTAGTGACCACGAAATCGATTTGTGGAACAGTATCATACTCAAGAAGCTCATTCGCGGAGCGACGAGTAGCCTCAAGAGAAGTAAGATCGAGTTTGTGAGGGTGAAACTTGACCGAGGGATAGTCTGTGGTAAGGTCCTTAACAATTAACGACAAACGAGTATCGTCTCGACCGGTCACGATAACAGTAGATGCGCCGCCATGAGCAAAAGCGCGGGCAATCCCCTCTCCAATGCCATATCTGGAGACACCAGTTATCAGGACAGTCTTGTTGCGAGCTTGCGAAGCGTAGTGATGTGCGACAGCAACAGCGCTAGTTTTCTCGTTGAAATTTGGGTTGGAGGCCATCTTGACATGGAGATGTAACAAACTATGCAAATTCCTTGCGACGTTAAGGTAGTGGCGTTGGACGTAGGTGTTCTTGAAATCTTGATTGTGCATTCGTTGCACATACGATTAGGCTTGAATAGCAATTGAAAACTATTACCAGCATCATGATTAAGCTGTGGCATATGTGCAATGCACGTTGGATGTGTAACGATAGAGATCCCGGTTCCGGACGAAACGATACGCGGCCCGCTCCAGCTGATCCCGCAATGCTGACCAAGGCGGGATCAAGACGAAACAACCTTGAATCGGCCCGAGTACATCAAAGGCTTGGTGTACCTTAATATGGGAAAGGATCTGAGCATGAAGTCAGTTTGGATTAATGATCATGGATCATATGGCCTGGGAAAGAGCGTGTTAGCTACATGGATTAGAATTCATGTGCAAGCTGCGAACTGCGAATTAACCTTTCGCAGAAAACACAAGTCAAGATGTGGATGAGACTGGTCGTGCCACAAAGCGGGTCACTTTCATCAAGTTGTCAAGTCACTGAGACCAAGGTTGAGCGATGAATAGATTCCTACAACACGACCGTATAAATCGAGGTATTTGTGATGGGCTGTCTCTGAGTTGCATTACAGGAACAAATTGACCAATTGTCTCGAACTTTGTCACATGAAAACCGTAACCACTCGAGCTCAGTTTCTTCGATGTTTGGAAGAGTGACGGATAACTGTGTAGTCTGATATACCATGCAGTTATCGTACGGATACATCGATGACAACATCCCAGAGACTAGATAACTAAGCTCAGTAAAGCTCGTGCGAATGCCTTGCGACATAGTGGGGCAAAGCAGAAGTTGCAACTGCCAGTTGTCTCGATCCCGGATCCAATCAAAGGATTCAATTGCACGAATCACGGGCAGCGGATCTTTGCTGCTCCGATATAGGCATTCTGGGGCGTGCAGACGCAGCTTAAACGTGCGCCCCTACAACGCTCGGCCATGTATTGCCGGTATTGACGATAAGCTAGGGGTTTCTCAACACTTCTTATGTCTTTGCTACTTGTTAGTGTATATGATGCTCGACAAACCGGTCTTCCAAGATCGTTCCCCTGCCTTCGTTCGTGCTCTTTGGCTCTCCAACCGCAGCTTGACCCTGAAATTGGGTAGGACTGATGATTGTGACCGCATTACCCAACTCGCCTCGCTTGCGCATAACTATTGGACTCAGTAATTCACACACTCGAATCACTCGATCGTCGACTTGTGTTTCTTCCGAGCAAGCAAGTAGGCGAAAGTTTCCAGGTTTGGCAGAGACGCTGACATAACAAACTTTCCGCTTCAATTCCGCGATCAGAGTACATAGACATATCTGCGTTGTCATGAATTTGGAAAACCATCTCGGCACTTCCATGCCATCCATCCAGCGGGTGAAATACAAGTTCAATTTTTCCCTCATTGGCGCAGCGAGTAAACATGCCCATTGATCTCGGGTTTTCCTACTTGGCCACGCAGCTCCAGCGCTAAGTGGCGACACTTCTTGGGCTAGTTCGGGGACTGGTGGCGTGTAAAATATGGCTGCTACCGAGCATCCGAGCTCTCCCACCCAGTCTGCCCATTGAAGCATTGCTCGCATGTTCTCTGAATGTGAGTCCCTGTCACTATCACTGAGTGTTTTGCTTGTCGACCGGAAGGAGATGCAGCCGCAGATGGCGCCAGTATCTTCGGCAAGCACCGTCAAAATACCATGAGTAGGGTCTATAGTTACCCGCTGACGGGCACGCTCCTTGTCTATTATCTCTTTCATTTCGGATGGGATACCTCGATGCATGCTTAGCTGGTCAGTACCGGGAAAACCCGGCAGGTCCCGCCATGCGTTGCTCTTGTACGTAGACCAATCGGGAACCCATGACGGAGTGTCTTGTAGCCTTCGGGCGGCGGCTATTTACAGTATTCGCAAGTTTTTAGTCACTTCCAGCAGATTCACGGTAGGTTGTCGGTAGAGCAAGGGTATTTCCGTCTCATCATCGGCATCGTACGTTGGTTCAGGAAGACTGCTGGCTCCAAGCTTGTGCAGGATAGCCCAGATACCGTATGCCATATCCCTCCGATTGGAAGCTGCTCTTTGGTACAGAGCTCCGACCAAGTCGTCTGTCGCCGTCTCGTTGAGACCGTCTCGGTAGGGTTGAGATAGATCACGCACCTCTGACCATGCGTAGATAAGTACTGCAGGCGTCATGACAGCCGTCAATCCCAGAAACAGAGGCTCGTAAGGATAAAAGACCCACGAGAGAGGGAAATGACGAAGGCCGTCTGGATATCCACTCGCAAAAGATACGGCGATGATGCTGACCAGAAGAGCCACTGCTAGACATGCCAGCAGTAAACAGACCCAAGTGATCTTGAGTACCGTTCGTGCTGCAAGAATTCTCTTCACAACTTCTTCATGCACTTGGAGAGCATGTAGTAGATTGGGCTCGGTCGATCGGACGATCGAACTGACCTTGCCCCTGTCAAGGGCGATGCTCTCCCATGTAATGGCGGTACTTGGAAATTTTCCAGAAGTACTTCGCAGGAGTAGCAGTGTCCATTCGAAATCCGACCATTCAACATGTTCAGACCCACACGTAATCACGGGATGAGAAGCTAGCAGGATTTCTTGATAAGTCCATAGTCGGGATTTCCACGGCCGGTTAAGAACGTAGATAAGGTCATTCCAGTTGATATATTGCACCCGATGAGAGAAATGAGCTAACACAGGCTTCTTGTTCCCTTTAAAATCAGCTCAATTCAGTCAGGAGGTGGGATGCAGCTTACGCCGAAACGGCAAAGGGTGATACCCGAAACTCCATCCAGCAAAGGAAGAACGCAGCGCTGCAGCATAAGGTCGATATCGTGGTGGCTCATCTGGCGCTGATTGAACATATATACGGAGCCCACCTCTCGACATGAATCTCATGACTTGGTCAGACCTCTTATCGCCCTCCCCTAGCCACACGTAGACTTTCCTGGCCTTGGTGTATATCTGCTCCATGAGAGGAAGCTGCCGACTCTTCTCCTTGTTCTTGTCTTCTTGGTCAATACATATTGCATCGACCCAGACGACCAGGCCTTGCAACTTCTTGCTCAAGTGCCATAAGGCTGAGTAACAGTTTGTGGTAACCTCGAACAGAGCGCTATCGCATAAGATGCTGCGTTTCTCCCTTGGGTCACCCCACACGTATGACAAGGCCGTGAAGTCGTGTTCGCGATCGAGACTGATAACTTGCAAAGTGCATTTCAAAGGCGTGCCTTCGATAGCGTTTCTGGGAACAGGCTGCACGTCAAGAAGTCGAATAGTGTTCGAATTTGGACGAAGCGCATGTCTCTCATACACGTTCTGTTTGTCTTGTGAGATCTGCTGGACTTGCTGAGCACGCAAAATCGTATCGGCCATTGTTGTCGGCAAATCAGGTGCGTAAGGCTGACGTGGGGCTGAGGACTGGTGGTATATAACCTCAAGATGGCATTGACGCAAGATGGTAGCTCTACCGTTAGGTAGCTCCTGAAGATGAAGATGATCAAACGATAGGATCTTCAATGTGAAGCTACAATGGATAGAGAGAGAAAAAGAGCGAGAATGCTGGAAAATCGAGAGGCAGGCTGTGAGATAGCCCCCGCTATACCATGTCCGGTGCGCCACGATTTCAAGGTTGTGTCAAGGTAAAAGTGACTCGACCGGAATACATCTCCTATTGTCGTGTTCATTACTTATGGTTGCTATCCTCGAAATGGTTTTCTAAAGCGAAGCGCAAGGCTTTGCTGTATAATGGATTGTGGGGGCATGCGATTACATCGTCGCCTGCTGGTCGTGGATGGCGATCGCATGCGCTGTTTGCGCCTGTATTTGGTGTGCATGTTCTTAACCGACGGCTCCAGCGGCGCGCAGTCTCATCTGTTCTTGGGATCTCACCGAGATATCATGCGCGAGCGGACTGTATGAGCTTTGAGGTGTGCTGAGATGCTCCAAGCGTGCACGGGCTTGGCCACCCTCGTCACCCCGCACTTAGGTTACCTCACTGTTATAATCTTCAACAGCGATCTATATGCTAATCGAGATTCAATTGCGCACGCTTTCAAAACGAGCTGATGTGCTGGGTAGATGTTTCTAGACGATAATAACGTGGCCGGGTGGGTAATCCTATGAATATACGCCGCTCGTTAATGATGCCAGCCGCGCTTACTGGTTATGCGTTACTCGGCTTCTAAGGTCTCGAATCTTGAAAACGTACAACCGCAAACATGCTGTTGATAATATATGAGAGAGCGTTGAAGGGATTGTACAACTGGAAACCTGGATCCGAACACATAGCTGGACACGCATCACAGCGATCATTTACTATCAAGTCCAGTCTACAAAAATGTAGATATTTCACCGGAGTCTTGAACAACCGCGACTACCTGAGTCTGGAAGCCTGGATATAACCTGGCTTTCTCACGTACGGAAGGATGACCTCGGAAGTTCCACCATGAAGCTCGCGGGTTGACCGAGGTTCTGGCAGCATCGCATTGATTATTGATCACTCATCAACTCTGCTAAGCTAGATGATGTCTCCCAGTGTTGCGTCAGCACAGACGGTGTGATGAGTAATTGCTAAGCTCAGTAAAGGGCTTCTGTGTCTGTGTGAACATCGAAAAGATGCAGAGAAGCTTAATGAGATGCTCAATAACGGCCCTGATCTCCAAGACGTAAGACGGAACAACTAAACCTACAGTGTTCGCCAACCGCGGCCTATAAGAAGGGATACACCCTACTATAGCAAACATACAAGGCCAGCAACACACTTGTCTACATTGAACATTCGTACCACAACTTCACGATCTCGATCGGCACTATGTCTACCCCATCCCTGCCCCCAATAGTTCCCTACACATCTATGAACGTTTCGGGCGATGAGCGAAGCTCCGCCATCGATTTTGTCAATCGACTCAACTTTCTCTTTGAAGAATGGGACACACCAAAGATCCTACAAGCCTTTGTTCCAGATGTGAAAGTTTTGCACGTCCACGGCACACTTCATGGACATGAGGATATCATCGAATTCTGGAAGAAGGTATACCATCCTTTCATACCCGGTGTTCACCGGCACGCTTCCAATCATATTGTGGACCGAGACGAGGAAACCGGTGGCGTCTCGGTGCGCTACCATAACTACCTCTACCGCTACGCATGGCCAGACGACACCGAGGGGATCAAGGGCACTGTGTTACAGTATAAAGAGGACACGGAAGGATTACCAGCACTCTGGAACGGAGTTACGATGATGGACCGATTGGTTCTTTCAGCAGATGGGTGGAAGCTCAAGGAACGAGTGCTTGGCGGATTGGTGGCTAACAAGGAGCTGATGCCTGATGCTAAATCGAAAAAATGAGACTTGGTATTTGGAACAACTCTAGACAGAAAGTATGTTCCTGGACTCTTTCAGATTGAGTATAGCACATATATTACCTCTTTATGGCAATCAAAGATCTACAATTTGACGGGTATGTTGCGAGACATTCTTGTGCACAGACTTGAGAAAATGTCACCCCAGATGCATAGAGGTCAAAGGGACTTCCAGAGAATGAAGAAGCTAGAGGGGCACGTGATGTCATGCTCTGAGTGTGACTGTTTTCATTTGCAAGAGTCATGCGCAATGTGACACTGGTGACAGTGATGGGCGGCGGTGCGAAGATGGGCGGCGGTGCGAAAGTGAGCGACAGATTATCAGTGCACGTTGCTGCAAGGGTCATTTGCGTTAGAAACCCTCATATTTGTGCCGGTTTCGACTGGATGTACGACCGTGTCGAGAACTGCAAGCGCGCATCAAGCAGCCGACTGAGCAACAACTTGCTCGTACCAAGGCCACAGATCTCCAAGCCATTAATGATGCGGCGAATGACGCGACGTCATGAGACTTCTTGGTCGGCAGCGCCAGCAATATACATGCCGCAGCGTAATAGATTAAACCGCCCGAAGTGAACCGGGAAACTCAACCTCGTAAACCAGCGTTGAGCCCGGTTTTCATCTATTGAACCGGGTTGCAGGTATTCGCTCTGTGGGGGCGCCACATACATCGCGACGTCGAAAAAATGGGAATGAAGATGTCGCAGCGCAATGGAGGTTGCATGGCTCGGAAGGATGCTGAGGTGGAGGCACACGCGAAGGCTTGTGTTGGAGCGCGCTAATGGCCAAAGCAACCGAGCTCCGCCTTCTCTAGACTCTACCCAACCACGTCCAACGAACCACCCGCCCACCGAGTCCTCATCTGCGCTAAGTACCATTGCAGCAGCGCCGACCGACTGCCATGGACGCGACAATGTTCATATATGAAGTCGAGACGATCTAGTACCCCACCGTCTCTAGTCAGCCTCAATCTTACGTTCGCTTCTAACGACGTCAAGACATTCCAAGCTTGTACTTCACCAGGAGCCACCGGCACAGACCCAGGACCCTGCTCGGCAACCGGAGTACAGTGCCTAGTACCCGTTGGTAGCACATCACCTCTAATACACCATCATCAAATGTGGACGCGGGCCGAGTCAGGAGGCAGCACGTTCTGTGCATGCTTCGAGAAGATCCGGGGGCGCAGGTACCACGTCGACATGGTCAACTGACCGAAAGTATGTCTGGGGAAGTTTTGAAACGCATCAACGGCGGCATCACGGACATTGACACCGGCTGAAGTAATTTGGGTATTGATGAAGGATAAGTTGATCGCCAGTACTAGGGTTGAGCGAGAACATACAAATACGTCTTCCTGACGACGGTATTATTCTTCACGCACTCCATCTCACAGTCTCTTTCTCGGTCAAGATGCTATCCAACATCCTTCTTACTGCTGCGCTCGCAGCAGGCGTGGCTCAGGCTTTGCCTCAAGCGACCAGTGTCACGAAGACTACCTCCACGGCTCGCGCCACGACCACCGCTGCAGCAGCGACTGGTAACCCTTTTGCTGGCAAGGACTTCTACGCCAACCCATACTACTCGTCTGAAGTCTACACTCTGGCCATGCCTTCGCTTGCTGCATCGTTGAAACCCGCTGCATCCGCCGTCGCCAAAGTCGGTTCATTCGTATGGATGGACACGATGGCCAAGGTGCCCACCATGGACACCTACCTCGCCGACATCAAGGCCAAGAACGCTGCAGGAGCAAAGCTCATGGGAACCTTTGTCGTTTACGACCTGCCCGACCGCGACTGCGCAGCCCTTGCCTCCAACGGCGAGCTCAAGATCGCCGAGGGCGGTGCAGACAAGTACAAGACGCAGTACATTGACAAGATTGCCGCCATTATCAAGAAGTACCCGGACGTCAAGATCAACCTTGCCATTGAGCCCGATTCCTTGGCTAACATGATCACAAACATGGGCGTACAAAAGTGCGCGAACGCCGCGTCAACCTACAAAGACCTCACTGTCTACGCTCTCAAGACACTCAACTTCCCCAACGTGGACATGTACCTCGATGGCGGCCACGCTGGTTGGCTAGGCTGGGACGCCAACATTGGGCCAGCTGCAAAGCTATACGCCGAGGTTTACAAGGCGGCTGGCTCGCCCCGTGGCGTCCGTGGTATCGTCACCAACGTCAGCAACTACAACGCCTTCCGCATTGCTACCTGCCCTTCCATTACCCAAGGAAGCAAGAACTGCGACGAGGAGCGCTTCATCAATGCTTTCGCTCCTTTGCTGAAGGCTGAAGGCTTCCCAGCTCACTTCATCGTCGACACTGGACGTAGCGGTAAGCAGCCCACTGGCCAGCAGGCTTGGGGTGACTGGTGCAATGTTTCGGGCGCTGGCTTTGGCATCCGTCCTACTACTAACACTGACAATGCGCTTGTCGATGCTTTCGTTTGGGTCAAGCCCGGTGGCGAGGTATGTAATGATCTTTTGAAGGTTGTCTGATGAAATGCATGCTAACGGTAGTGTAGTCTGATGGTACTTCTGACCAGTCTGCTGCGAGATACGATGGCTTCTGCGGCAAGGCTTCTGCTTTCAAGCCTGCGCCTGAGGCGGGTACTTGGTTCCAGGCTTACTTTGAGATGTTGTTGAAGAACGCCAGCCCTGCTCTCGCATAAAGTGGAAACATCGGGGTTTGATAGAGGATTGGGACTAGACCTGTGTAAGCATAGAAGGGAGAGTCAGAGGATGCACTGTACATAGCCACGATAGCATCTTACTCTTCAAAGTCAAGATTGAACAGACTTTTGAATCAGGAATCGGTATAGTCGATCCCTTCGTGTTTGAAAAGCTCTCCTCTTTGTCGACTCCAGCGGTTGACTCCAGTGTATGCAACTGTTCCCGTTCAGCCCTGATGCGTACCCACGTAGGGGGGCTGGCAGCGGGAAGCCACATGTCTTGGCAGGGCTAACAACGGCCGATCTTCACTTTCGCGCGACCCTTACGCCACACTTGACCTGCCACACTTGATCTGACAGGCCGCCCCACCACTCCTTCACCACTACCCTTTGACGTACTAAACCGCATCATCATTTGTGCGCATCGCTTCTCCCTACACGTGCGATTGCCCCACGCTCGTTCACCTCGCAGCGCACCCATTGCGCCCACCAGACACTCATGCGGCTCCAGTTCTATCGATAAGGCAGCGGAGAGGGCAATGCAACGCCCCCAGCTTTCACCTCTGCGGTCGAGACTGCTCCCATACCTCGCCGCTACCGGCGCCTGTATCGCGCTATGGAACTTACCGATACCCGGCGCCCACGCTGCTGAAGTCCCTGCGGCCCCCGACCACGACGTCCTTGACAGCCCCGTACTTTACGCCCTTCCCAACGGCGAAGTGTCGCAGATTGGGCATGGAGAATACGATGGCATAGAGAGTGATGGCTATGAGCCGGAATTTGCCTACCTCGATCGCAGTCTGATTGGGCGGCAGGCCGACGTGCTTGACACGTTGGTCAACAACGAGGGGATGCCAAAGGACATCAACCCGGAGGAGACGATGCACTTTGTGTTCAAGAAGGGCGAATTGCGCCTGAGAAGCGCTCTTGACGTTGCCACGGAAGCTCTGGAAGCACGGGGAACGGAGAACGTTTCTGGCGGAGTTGGATCGGCGGATGTTGTTGAGCCTGGCACAGGCAATGCGACTGACGAGGATGAGGCTGGACTGGACAAGCGGCAGTCTGGTCGCAGTCGTGTCTGGCTAACTGCCAACACTTGTCGTCAGCCTATGCCGAACGGAAACGCGACGGACGCCATGAAGAACCATCCTCAGCTCGTCATGTACGTCTCCACATCAGCGCAGAATCAGCGTCCAGGCCCAGATGCAACGCAGAATACTCTAACCAACATAACGGGCGTGCTGTTCGATGGTGGCTACGCCAGTTTTGAGCTCAATGCTACGTCAGATGTGTACATTGGCATTGGAGCGCCGAAGCTGGAAGAAGACTGGTTTGGCAGCTGGCATTTTGAAGTCGCTGCTAGCACCGACGGACCCTACCACAGCTATAATGCCACTGAACCCTTCCTGTACATGGTGGATACTGACAGCGAGTCTGCGTTATTCATCACGTACGACCTGGGCGATTCGAACAAGACGGAGGATGTCGATAAATGGAAAGCGCAGAACCCTTTCCACATGTACGCTTTTCCAGATGACGAGTGGACTCCGGTCACGGGGCTAGAACGGTCATATTGCGCGCTCAAGGAACAATTCAATGTGAACACCACGAGGAATTTCACCATTGACACGAGTATCACGACGAAGTTTAGCGGCGACAGCTTCATGCCCAAGAGCCAGTTCCATGTCAGGAACTTGCAGGCTGCGAAGACGTACAATGGTTTCGTAGTAGTTGAGGGGAGCCAAGACCCACTATACATCGACCGCGTAGGCACAACGCGAGGCGGAGGCCGGGTCTTCCAGGCCTTCAACTGGACCACAAAAGCCGGTTCGTAAACACATTTTCCCCCCTTGCATGGCTATACTAACGACCATACCCAGACGACTCCTGCCAAGTCCTCTTCGACCTCGACTTTTGTGACACGGTCGCCTACGCCGTACCATCCAACACCCGCTTCAAATACAACGACACGGCCCTCGCAACAATCTACGACGACCAAGCCCGTGAATACTACGACAACTTCACAAAGTCGCTGGCACAGGTTGCTTGCGACACTGTGTCTGAATCGCAATACTCGCTCGCCCGCACCTGCGACGATTGTGCAAAAGAGTACAAATCCTGGCTCTGCATGGTTCTCATGCCGCGCTGCGAAGACTGGACCGCAAACGACTCGTCGCTCGTCCCGCGTAATGTCAAGACACCTTTTGCCAACGGCTCCTTGCCCGACATGATTCCTGGCTTCAACGACAGCGCGGCGTTTGCTCGCAGTAGGAATCCGCTCATTGACGAGGTCATCCAGCCCGGGCCCTACAAGGAGATGAAGCCCTGTGAGGACATGTGCTTTGATATTGTGAGGAGTTGTCCTGCGCAGATGGGGTTCAGTTGTCCGAATGGGGCGCAGAGGGAGAGCATGTATGGCCGGAGGGATCCGGATAATGATCGGTTGACGTGTAATTTTCCAGGAGCGGTTGTCAAGTTGAATGCGAATAGTAGTGGCGAGGCGTTGGGGGCGCAGATGCAGGGTGTAGTGGCTGTCGTTGGTATAGTCGCTGCTATGTTGTTGGTTTGAGATGGAAAGAAGACGTTGTGTTCCCCTGGCATTCAGGTAAGAGAAGGGGGCATTGGGGGCTAGCATTGTCCTGGCGTTTGCAACGGGGATATCATATATGACCTTTTGCTCCAAACAACAAAAGTATATCTCACACACTAAACTCCAACCTGTTTCCCGCAAAGTCTCGTGCAAAGAACCTCGTTGGATACTCGACGCCCTCCGCCCCACTATTCTTCGCCCCAGGCTTATCAGCCATCAATGGCGCGCTCTCGCTCTCCCCTTTTCTCTCAAAGTGGCTCCATACCCTCATTTGCAGCTCGTTGAGCGCTTCGACGCTCCCGACCCGGAAACAAGGGTGGCGTGAGGAAGCATGAGCAAAGTCCTCGGGCTTGCCGATCGCGACGTGTACTTGCTGGCCTGATGTGCCAATGTCGAACCAGGCGAGTGTTTCGCGCTGGAGATGGGGTACGGGGCGTGGTGTGAGTCCGAGGGTTTGGGAGTAGAATTCGTGGGCGAGGTGGAGGGTTGATGCGGGTACCACGAGATTGATGTGGTGGATGCCTGTTATCATGTTGGGCGAAGGTGTGAGGTGCCTTAGTTGGGTGGATATGGTGGTCGATGGTGGGGGGTTGTGAGGACTTGGCGCTGCATGATGGGGTGAATGTTGATTGCGGGGTGAAGACGCGGAGGCGAGCGCGTGTCCCCCGGGCTTTCGGTAGTGGCTCCTCGGAGACGATATCTAGCCTGCGCCCCATGCAACATATCGCAGCCGCAGCTGAAGAACACCCAGCTTGCGTGCTGCGTGCACTCAGCCTCTTATGTCCTCCGAAGCCAAACACGTGCCGCTGTGGTTTCATTGGTCTGGTTTATGTACTCCGCACAGCAGGCCGCCAGTGCGGCCTGCATTCCTTGATTCAGGACGTAGCCTGACCTACCTTTCATCCACACGAAGTATCTAGCTATCACATTTCAGACGGCACCGATAACGTCTTCTACTAGATTGTCCGACGTATGCGGTCCTTCTATGTCGAGTGCAGGTCGCCTATGTGCAAACTGTAGCGGCCTAGGACACGAGATCAGGCAGCTTTGTGAGACGAAGGACTACTTGATCTCAAAACCTCGAGCGTCTGTGGAGAGGTATAGATCGACCTGCGCATTCTGTGAGATGATAGCTTCTATTCCTTGGCTCAAATCCGGGGATATCGAAGGTGATTTTATCATCCACAGGAAGCCAGATCCGGACGATTATTATGGCCAACCCGCTGACGGTATCAACGAGTTGACTATCGCGCGTGAAAGCGGACACCATGTTAAATTGACTGTTTTTACCCCCGAAGGTTAGGAACTGTTCCTTGTACTGTGCGATTAGAAGAGGTGTTCAGGACTAATCGTTGACATAGGCAGCGTACCCGCCACTGCCAAACATGTTTCAGGCAGATGCATCAAGGCCGCTTCAAACCTTGACCGAGCAAAGCATTGGTTCAACGACTGCCTTCGCAATCATGACCATGATCAGGATAGACCATCCCGCCGTCCGTCTAGATTGGTGGCTGTAGGTACTGCAGATGGATCTGAATCTATCAAGATTGTGGATGGCTTAGATCGGGACAAAGAATACTTAACAGTCAGCTATCGCTGGGGACGCGAGACTTTGCTTACCACATCCGAAACATTTGAGCTGTTCCACACCTCAATACCCTGGGAACAACTCCCTAAAACATTCCAGGATGCTATAAACATAGCACGTGAGCTTGGTATAGAACACATGTGGATAGACTCACTATGTATCATCCAAGACGACTTGATTGACTGGGAGATTGAGTCTGGCAAGATGGCAGACATCTACAAGAGCGCCCTTCTGACAATCATGGCCGCCTCCGCATCAGACAGCCAGGGGGGTTTCTTTCCAGATCGTGCTATAATCAAGAAATTAGTAGCCTTGCCATACACCGATGCCAGTGGGACAACAGAACTTAGTGTCTTTGTTGGTAGAAGGCCCCCAAACTTCAGGACGGTCTTGTCCGCCGCCCCGCTATTCCAGCGCGGCTGGGTTTTCCAGGAGCGACTTATGTCGAAAAGGAAGTTGATATTCGGTGAAACCCAAACATACTGGGAGTGCCATGGCGTTGTCCTCTCTGAGTCGAATATCCAAAGTCAAGGCCCGCTTGAGATTCGGCAGACGCAAAACGACGCGGCATTTCAAGTCTTCACTGGCCCCATACACAAGATGAATACCACATCTGATCCAATATCACCGGTTTTCTTGTGGAGAAATGTGGTGTCGCAATATTCTCCATGCGCCCTGACCTACGAAGCGGACAGACTTCCTGCTCTGAGCGGAATTGCGCGAACATTCGCACGACGGTTCGGCGGTTCTTATGGCGCAGGATTGTGGCAAGACCAAATGCCCTACAACCTGTTGTGGTTTGCTTCCTACCAAGCATCGAAAGAGACCTACAAAGGGGAGTACTGCGCCCCATCATGGTCTTGGGCATCAATAAGGGATGGGGTGCACTTCGATACACCTGGTGGCATGTTAGAACTGGAGATTCTAAGCATAAATATAAAGCTCGCTGGCCAGGACCCATATGGTAGAGTATGCCCCGGTAGTAGTATGTGCGTTCGAGGTAGATTGCGCAGTGGAACACTCGTCAGAAGAGAGGGGTATGAACACAAAGTGTGGTTGTATAGTGAACACGGACGTCTCGACAACATGGGGTATCTCGATCGATACGACGAGAATCTGCCTCTCGAAGTTGTCTACTTAGAGGTCTCATCTGGTCGTGTTCAGACACATCGGGATGCGACCTGTCTCTTACTACGCAGAATAGGAGCAGACAAACATTTTCGAAGGGTAGGTATGGCTAATCTTCAAACTGTTGTTCTCAACGAAGATTACCTCTTCCATGGCCTTGGGAAAGAAGCGATCACATTAGTTTGACTCAAAGACAACTTCCCATCTTCGATTGCACTGGTTCTTCCTACATACAAGCATTAGTAGGGAACTCACATCCATGGAGGTAGCTCTTCTAACACCGAAGTCTAGACTAGCTTTTAGAGTAGTTTTAAAGGTCAGCTGTATGTAGCGTATTAGCTACACTATCTGTCTGATGTAAGAAGTAGTTTAGACTTCAAGTAATATGTAGCTAGCTCCAAAAGTAACGCCTACATTTGATGTTGTAACGGAATCCCACTGTAGAGTGTAGAGTTGCGATTTTCCAGAGGACACAACTTGTTAGCTGCCTCAGCTATGCTGTTTAGCATCATGTCTAGGCGCTCCAAAGACCGGTCTAGAAGCGTGGAAGGAGTGCATGTTTATGTTAGGCCGTAGGCTGAAATCGCGGTCGAGATCTCGCAGTGCATGCCAAGGAGCCAATCATCTATCTTCTGTCTCAGCTATGATATATGTGGCTGACGACGGAACCACGAACATCTTTACCATGGCGAAGCGAAAACTGAAAACAAATGACAAGAAATAGTATAAGAGCAGGGTGATCTCCAACTGAATGCTTATGATTGATCCATCCTCGGCAGGCACATCTCTGCTGGTATAAAATGACCTTCGTGGAATTTACTTCCCACCACCCAGCACTCGGCTTAGGCAAGCTTCTAAGCCTCTGGACACTCGCCCTTGCTCCTCTCATTGCCCACGTTATAGCAGGCGCGCCGGAGCCAATATATCTCTGCGCCGAGCCACCAAGATGGATAGACTATGCCGTATTCTGGAACCCTACATCAATCATCTGGCGTTACTTCACCATATTCGATCGCAGGATTCGTGCCAAGAACTGGAATCGCGAAATCCTGGCCTCGTCTAACGCACTTTTTTGGACGACAGATGGCTGGAATGGAAGTGAAGATATGATCAGAGAGGGGAGGAAATATTGTATAAGGTTGCCGCCTAGAAGCCACGCAGACTTGTTGTCGAAGTCGTTCATGAATACTGTGATCGTGACATTGCAGGGCGTACAGGCTTTATACGAGTTACTCTTAGTGGAGAAATTCAACAACAACATCAACCTGGCTACCGTATTCCTGCCACTTGCCCTGCTCGGTCTAATACGGCTTCCTTCAGCTCTCTGGATCACAGATGGTTTCGCGTACAATCACTATGACGTAAAACTAAGCAACGAGAGGGGCAGTCAAGTCACCACAACGACAAAAATAGGATACCACGAGTTGACCACCGTACCATTGTCAGGCGACGACACGCCTCAGTGGCCGCCTCCGACAAGCGAAGATATCAGCTACGCAGAATTCCGTCCTCGGAAGAGCATTCATGGTTACGTCGCGAGAATCATCTTCTTGACTCCACTACTCGGCATGGCCGGCCTAACTGTCTTTTGGACCTACTGGGTTTCGAAAGATGGCGGTTACATTACCGGCACAGGACTCTTTTCCCTCATGCTCTGGTTCACCTTCAGCCTCGGAAGTGCCTTTGTCTTCATCCTCAATATCGCAAGAGCACAGGATAGAACTACCGTCGTTCCCGGAGTATCAACGTTGTGGTACCGCTTATACTCCGCTATCCTTTTCCTTCTCATGCTCGCATTGCTGATCACGGCGACTATCGAGACGAAAGAAACATGGTGCGGAAAATTCACCGTCTTGTACGATGAAGCCGTCTGCCCTTGGATCGCACACCTACCACAAGACACATACATGTACTTCTATACGACGGCTACAGATGGCTCAAGTAGTTGGACAGGCTTCATTCACGCGACGAAGGCGTATTTGGCCGGTAATTACTCTTTGAGAGCTGTGAATGCCTCCCTTGATGCTACTCCGGAAACCGCGTACGCGTTTCTAAATCAGAGTTTACAAGAGTTTACAAGAAACGTCGATAGTTAAGAGGATTATATCAATCAAAGTACAAAACAAGATATCGCGTACAGGTTAGACGCATCAGTGCGCAAGGCTTTAGGTTTCCTGGCTTTCTAGCTCAAGAAGCACAGCTCACAATTCTTGAGTATTTTGAGGCAGGGACTGGTAAGCATGCCCGGAAGCTCTGGTGAAAGTAAGATCTAATCCGCCATCTAGACTGGCATGTACTTGGTCTCAGAAGCGCCATACTACCGTCAATCTCTCGCCTGTGCACCCGCGTCTTCATGGGCGAGGACCTCTGCCGTATCGAAGACTGCCTTAAGATCGCTGCAAATTACACCTCAGATAGTTCATGGCAGCAAATCAGCTTCGCAAGTGGTTAAAACCTCCACGTCTGCTCATGTCCTATTTCTCTTCGGACTGTCGGGGCTTGCGAAACAAGGCAGTGCCGCGCGAAAGCTGATCAACCCGATCTTGCAGCTCTTGTTGTTCATGGTAGCTATCCATGCGACCACTGACCTCGTAAGTCATTTCATGACAGACATCACTTATTATCCCGAGATCCTCGGACCACTGGAAAAGGAGATACTCGCTGTCCGCGGGCAGGAAGCATGGACAAAGTCCGCTCTATCCAAGATGCAACTGCTCGACAGCACCATAAAAGAGAGCCAGAGAGTCAAACCCATCCAGATAAGTAAGTTCATGGAAGGCGTCTCAATCTCCACCCAACAACAAATAACTGACATGTTTCCCATCAGCCACGATGCTCCGCTCTACTCTCGAAGACTACACCCTCCCTGACAGAACGCTCGTCCCAAAAGATCATCTCATATCCGTATCCACACATGCCATGCGCGACCCACAAGTCAACAAAGACGCCACAACCTGGGACGGCTACCGCTTCCTCCGATGGTGTCAAAAACTCTGTTGAGGTTAGATGGTCATGGATACAAAAGAGTCAAGATACTCACTTGGGATGTACGCGAGACTGTCTATTGTCATAGCATCGTGCAAGCATACTCATTATATGAAATCGGATTCACAAAGAACTTCTAGCTGACGGTTTCCTGTTTGTAGCCCTGGTGTCACATGCAAGAAAGGTTTTCGAACTCGTTCAAGTATATACTACATAGCGTGATCTACAGCAAAGATCAAACTCGTACGCGTTTTTCCTCCCAGAAATGCTACAAGTGATTACAATAAAACGCCGCCCATATGCTCAAAGGGTATCGTTCGTACCGAATGCTTTTGGTGGCTGGATCGGTGAAGCGAGCCGAACCAGATGTATGTTCCCAACCATGAAACGCCCATGTCAGTTCTTCCCTTGCCATCACACTAGCTCTTGTTGCACACTCCTCCGCTCCCCATTCTTGCACCATCTCCATATCTGTCGATCAAGCAGACACCAAGGGTCCATGAAAGTCCCTCAACGCAGCAACAAGATCATCCTCGCGCATCAACTGCAGCAGCAACTTCTCCTGCACCTCCTTCCATTTTCTCAAATCATCCAACTCGCGTGTGCTCAGCCATTTTTCTTCGTTTCCAACGACATCAGAGCGCTCGGCTTTGGTAAGGGTGAACTCAATCTTCTCCCTTTCGTACCTGATCCTCTGCAAGATTCTCACCATACCCTTGTATGTATCATGCAGCAACTTCTCCCTCGCACGCTGCCGATCGTACCACACGAGATGGAGTGAGTGTTTTGCTTCGCGGCGATCTACCTTGGGTATCTCTTGTGTCTGAACAAAACCTTGGATGGTGAGATCATTTACAATGCCCCGGACGTCTGCAGCCGACATCATCATGACGTTGCACATGGCTCTCTCGTCCAGTCTACCCTTTTTGCGCAGGGCGCGTACGAGCTTAACTCCCAATGAGCCTTTGCGTGCCGAGATGGTGTTCTCGATTTCCGTTTGTATCATCTGGCGGGCGATTTCGTCAAACTCAATGTGCCATTGTGAGAAGCCAGCACGAGAATGCCAGGTAACGAAGTGGAAGGGATCTTCAGCCAACATCTGGATGTGTTTATCCACCACCTTGGTCCTCTCTTCCATGTTCAGTTTTGCGGGATCGGTCGGTTGCGTCCAGATATTTGTCCGGTTGACATGCCCTTTACGGGTGATTTGCACAGCGGCATTGGGGTCGATGCCCTCGAAGATATCGAGATCACCACGCTCGCGGCTGAGCTTCGTCGCAACGTCGCGCGCGGTTACAAGGAAGCGAGGGTCGATTGAGGCGTCGCCGGGTTCGCCGCTGGGGAGGGGTGGATCGGCCCATTCTTCCCAGCACCGGGGTGTCTTGGATTCGAGCATGCGCAACATGGTTTGGTACACACGCGCGGTAACGGATCCCAGACGTTGCTCTACGAGGTGTACAAGCTGCTCCGACCGCATGGCGACTGCAATCTTCTCCGGGTTGACGCGTATCACAAGATCTTCGTCAGATGAGGGCGTTGCGTACCCGTTTGCGCCGTTCGTCTTCATGCGCTTGTTGGCGCCGTTGGATTGTCCGCCCTTTGCGAACTTGGGGACCGTGAGCCATTCGTCACGCATTGCCCGTTTGCGTTCCAGGGTGCCTCTGTTAACGACGTCTTTGTCTTTGGTACCGGTGGGTGTGATGCCTGCGTTGTCTTGCTCGATGGACTCTTGGTAGAGCATGTCGTGCATGTCACCTGGCGACAGGTATTGCGTTTCGGTAACTGTCCTGACCCACCCACGCTCTATCAATAGCTGTATGAGCTCGTATAGCTCGTCGACAGAGGTGATGTCGCTGTCATCCTGCTCTTGCCCAGGCTCTTCTGGCGCGCCGTTGTGGGTTACGCTGTCGACCTTTGACGCCTTGTCAGCTTTGTGTACGCCGTTAGTCTTGCCATGGCCATTTGTGAGGTCTGCCTTTGCGTCGTCCAACTCGGACGGCATGCCATTCGCGACGCCGTTTGTCCTCACTGTTCCGTTGACGTGGTTGCCGTTGGTCCGCTTCCGCTTGGAGCCTGCGCCGTTCGCAGTGCCGTCGTCTGAGTCATCGTCGCTTTCGGTTTCGGGCGGGAAGTAAGCTTCCTTCAAATCGGCGATGCGCGTGTGGCCGAGGGCAAGCAGGTTGGACATGACATTTGCGGCTTTCTTGCCGAAGCGGTCTTCGACCAGTTTGACAACCTTGCCGAAGCGGACGATTGCATAGGAATTTTGCCAGTCGATCTCATAGTAGGTCAAGGGCGCATCGCTGCCGGAATGGAAGATGAGGTGCTGCTGGAGGAGGATGACGAGGCCGTACTTGATCTGTCGCCCGTTCAAGTAGGAAGCACGTGCGATGGATGCGAGACTCTGGCGCCCATGACGCGCGAGGATTGAATAGACGCGCTACGAGTAGTTAGAACAGTGTCGTTGAATGCGCCCGTCGCATGCCTGAAGTCGAAAGATTTCTGCGCTTGAGCGCGACAATGCGCGGAAGATGGTTGGGTCAGGAAGATTGTTCGGTCAGACATACAGCCGCAAGTTCACCGTAGACATCCTCGACCAGGAAGGTGCAGAGTTCAGCAAGGACCTGGAGGGTGGTTGGTTATGATTCATTCGTCTGCCGCATAGGCGCGGCGGCGGCGCATCTTACCGGAGTCTCTCGCTGGTTGTAAGACATGTTTGGGCCTAGATATTTGCCAGATATCTAGGATGGAGTAATGCTACCGTGGAGACATTGGTGGGCGCGTCTTGGTTGCTGTGGTGGAAAAGTGATGGTACTAGTCGTCTGGAAAATGATAGCGGGTGGGGTCGTTCCTTCCCAAGCTCCGGCCAATGGGGGAAGGAGCGATCGCACTTACGGGTCTTGGCGGCTTTACGAACTTTGTGACGACAAAGTCACCACGCCTCACCACCAGACGCCTTTCCATCCATTGTCGTCCCCCACACCCGAATCAGCCCTCCGCCCGGCGCCTTCCACACGATGCTCTCCCGAACGACCGCCTGCCGGGGCGCGCAGCGTGCCGCCCGCGTGACGCCCGTCTCCCAGTGCCAGCGCCGCGGACTCGCTGCCCCAGCTTCAGGCTCCTTCCAGTACCAGTCCGGCGAGGCCAAGGGCGTCAAGTACGCCAGCAGAGACTTTGCCGGCCCCACGACGACGCTGGCCCTGGTTGCAAAGGCCGGCACGCGCTTCCAGCCGCTGCCAGGCCTGACCGAGGGTCTTGCCAACTTCGCTTTCCGGGTACGAATATCTTGTCCGGCAAGAACGCATCCAAGAGCCAACTGACGCTCTGGAACTAGGGAACCGAGAGACGGTCGACGCTGCGCATTGTCCGCGAGTCGGAGCTTCTGGGCGCCAGCCTCAACGCCCACCACTCGCGCGAGAACCTCGTGCTCGAGGCCAAGTTCCTCCGCGATGACCTGCCCTACTTTGTCGAGCTGCTTGGCGAGGTCGCCAGCTCCACCAAGTACCAGCGTATGAAACTCGAAATGACTGAATGGAGATGGAATTGACACAGCACAGCCCACGTCTACGCCGAGGAGGTCCTCCCCATGATCCACTTCGCCCACAAGAAGTTCCTCGCCAGCGTCACCGACATGGCCACCCAGTCCGCCCACAGCCTTGCCTTCCACCGCGGCCTCGGTGTCCCCACTGCCTCGGCCGCGCCCACGCCCTACACCAAGTACCTCGACGCCGAGACCATTGAGTGGTACTCCAAGATTGCTTACGCGAAGCCCAACTTTGCTGTTGTAGCCAACGGTGCCGACCACGGCGAGTTCTCCAAGTGGGTTGGTGAGTTCTTCGAGAACGTGCCCAGCGCCCCTGTCCAGGAGTCCGGCATTGGTGCCGACCAGTCCAAGTACTTTGGTGGTGAGGAGCGTATTGCGCACGACGGCGGTAACGCCATGGTCATTGCCTTCCCCGGCTCAAGCTCCTTCACCGGCAAGTTCTACAAGCCTGAAATCGCTGTCCTCAGCTCGCTGCTTGGTGGAGAGTCGGCCGTCAAGTGGTCGCAGGGTTTCACCAAGCTCGGCCAGGCCGCTGCTCAGGGCGCCAAGGTCAAGACCACCAGCGCCATCTACTCCGACGCCGGCCTCCTCTACACCACCATCACCGGATCTGCCAAGGCTGTTGCCCAAACCGCTCAGGCTTCCGTTGATGCTATCAAGAAGATTGCCGCCGGTGAGATCTCGAGCGAAGAGGTTTCCAAGGCAAAGGCCGCTGCCAAGTTCAAGGAGCTCGAGCACGGCCAGGACATCCGCGCTGGTCTCGAACTCACCGGCAACGGTTTGATCCACAACACTCAACCGTACCAGATCGACGAGGTTGCCAAGAAGATCGATGGCGTAACAGAAGAGTCTGTCAAGAAGGTGAGTTTTTGCGATATCGTTTCCAATGTGCTACGTGCTAACAAGACGTTCAGGCTGCCAAGGAACTCCTCGAGAACACCGCCTCCGTATCGTCCGTCGGTGATCTCTTCGTACTACCGTACGCTGCGGATCTTGGCCTCAAGGTGTAAATACAGTGATTATGTAGCGCAGTTAGATGGAGAATCTCGTTTGTGTAACATTATCTTGTGATAGTCCCTGATAGATGCGATCTCGTATGAGAGTTCTTTTGTTCGAAATTAGTCCAAGTTATGCTGTGCCTGCGTGAGACAACCAGTGGCATTTCTCCTTGTATGATTGATGCTGCTCACGCCTGCCACGTGCCAGCGCGTCAACGCACGGACCAAACCGCCCAACATCGACGTCAACCCAAACACGTCTCACTGCACATCTCATGACAAGGCATCCCCGCCCCCACCGCCACCGCGAACAGCCCATTGCACATACCACCTGACAGTCAGCTACAAAGTTCTCTTGCAGTGCGCTCTAGACCAAACCATGGCGCCAACTCTGTACCCCCGTGGTACTGTCAAGAAGATCGTGAAGGCGCATTCGAACCGGCAGATGAGCAAGAATGTGGATATACTGGTATGTCTGATGGGATACCGGAGAACCGACCGGGAGCGGGCAAGCCTTGCAAGAGCAGAAGACTAACATGCAACACAGATCTACCTCAATTATGCGTTGTTTATGCAAGAGTACGTACCGACCACCTGACATTATTCCACTACGCGATGGCGACACGACGCGCATACTTTGCGATACGATACGCAATGTGATCGACAGCGAAACTGTTGAGAGATGAAGGAATAGGGAAGGGAAAGCGCGCGAAATCGGGTTGTGTCGCCATGGACGTTTGGGGGGGAATACAGTGGAAAGGGAGACATGGGCTGACGGCAATCACAGACTCATTAACGAAGCGAGTATCAAAAGCAAACAACGTGGCGGGAGGGCTGTGTCGGCGAGGAGCGTGAAGAGGGTTAGTGAGGATGTGTTGAGGAAGTACAAGGGTTGAGAATGCGCAGCGCGCATATCTCCCAGCCTTCATGAGCGAGCGCACCGGTGGTCCTCGCCTGTATGAGGAGCGGAAGGGGATAGATGTACATGCGTTCACTACGGGTCACTCGGCTGAGAGCTGAGTATCGATCCGCATAACGGCATGCATGGCGTTTGGATTGAGCTTTGGTGGAGTGTTTATGATACCCAGGCGACTATGCCGACACAACTAGTACTTTTCTTTCTCCTAGCTTGCTGCTTTTTTCCCATCATAGAGAATGCTGAAAAGCATAGGACGACTGGGCATGTGCAAGTGAATAAAACGCAGAAAAATTTATAGGAACATATTCATAATCACCTATTGTTCTCGCTTGGATCTATCCTGCGCATAACTAACGTTTAAATAGCACATTACGTAGTAGTGTGGCTACATATCATTAAATCGCCGACAGCGACGTTTCGTGCCCTGACTAGTACCTCAGCCTACGTAACTATTTTACTCTAAAGCTCGTTATTAGTAATCCTGCGCGATGCTCTAGATATTACAGTCTTAGAGTCTTGTCTTAGATTGGTAGATAGTAATCTGTAGTAGCGATCAGAAAGTTTCTTACTCGCTAAAGCGATTAGCAAAATTCGCAATGACAGGGTAGCGCAACGAGCCTACTTTTGTTATCTGTAATGGACATTCACGTGACTTTCCTCACACTCAGTCATGTGACCTTTCCTTCCAGCACTTTCTATCGATCTTTGTTCTATTAAAACAATCATGAGTAGACTAGCGAAATTTGTCTCTTGCCCAAGTAGCGAATTGCTTTACGTCTATACAGCTTGAAACCAGCAAGACTGTCAGTGTCCGTGCACATACTCAGTGCGGGGCATAGATAAGGTCGGCTATAGTGCTGTCGTGGGGAATCGTCTCGCCCTAACAAAGGATACGTTTATCAATCGTTAGTTATCATTGCATACAGCTTCACAAGAAACTATGGCACTAGTAGGCATTCATCCACAGACAGCACAACTGGCAATTCAGTTGCAGCTTGCCGACGTCGAGTCGGCCCTGCAAGAGTCGGATGCGGGGGATCAATGGACGGCTTGGAAGACACTGCAGGATGAACTGGAATGCGCTTTATCACTCCTACAAGATCAGGTCTTCGCTATGGACCTCCTCAGACAAGATCAAGACAATCGAGCTGTGTTTTCTGAATTTCTTCGAGAAGAGAGGCAGGCGGAAGCGGACCACGATCTCGCTTGTAGATTGAGCGGTATCGCTGATGAACACCTTACGCGATCACTTTCATCGAAAAGAGACGACATGACACAACCACTAAGGACCAACGATGATGATCAGGATCTAAATCCGACGCAGAATGTGGACCTGCTGGCGGAGACTTGGGCAGTAATCAATGCCTACGAGCCCACTGAACACGATACCAAACTAGCTGCAGCGTCGGAACATGATCTCTACGGCAAAGCTGGTCCTTCTAAAATCAAGGCAAAAGGCAAAGGAAGGGCGAAAAACTCGTCAAATGACGATGAGCATACAACCCACATCTTGTGTTCTGCTTGCATGGAGCAGTGTCCGCGCTTTGATGCACTCGAGCTTTGCTGCAAGCGCGCGACAGAAGACTCCACTCACGCTTACTGCAGGACGTGTTTGAGTGACCTAGTTCGCACTAGCCTCGCAGACACTACTCTTTTTCCGCCTCGATGTTGCGGCAAAAGCTTGCCTATATCTCGTTGCAAGCAACTGTGTTCACCATTACTGATGGCACAATACGAGGACAAAAAGATGGAGCTAGCAACGCCCAATCCATTATACTGCAGTAACCGACATTGTGCCGAATTTATCAAGCCTGATGATGTCACTGCTGATACTGCAGTATGCCAAGCTTGCCAAAAGGAAACTTGCGCTCTTTGTCAGAATCCAAGACACAATGGGGTGTGCCCAAGAGATCCATCTATACAGCGACTGATAGAAGTGGCTAATGAAGAGGCGTGGCAGCGATGTCCCAACTGCAGAACATTGGTTGAGCTAACCACAGGCTGTTACCACATGCGGTAAGATCGAACCAGACTATTATTCTAATCATCGCTGACAGCGGGATAGATGTCGATGCGGCACGGAGTTTTGTTACCTATGCGCAACGCTATGGAAGACCTGCACCTGCCCTCAGTGGGAGGAAAGTCGCCTCCTCACCAACGGAAAAGCTGGGAATGGTCCACGCAACCGAATCGCGATGCCTGAAGAGAGTGAAATACCCGAGGTAGATCCCAACATTGAGATCCTAGAAGACATGCGCATGCGACTGGTAACCGTAGCTGGAGGGTACGCTATTGCTAACGACGAAGACTTAGACGAGGATGTTAGTCAATTGGCCAGCGAATGTTACCATCAATGGGAACGAACATATGGCAAGCGCGGTGAACATGAAACATGTGGGATATGCCATCATCACCTCAAGTTTGTAAATGGTTGTACGAGATGCAGGACGAGAGCCTGCAATCGATGTCTCAACAATAGACTCTGAGCATACTTCAGTTTGCCAAGATACTTTATATCAAACAACATAACTTGATGAAATACTAGACGCACTTACGTAGTAGAAGTCCGGATATATTGCATAGTGAGACTAGAGATGAACCGTTGTTGAGCCACGATAGTGTTCTAGCAGTCTATATACGTTGATTATCTGACCTCACAGCCCGGGAGGGCCTGGAGGAGCCGGGAATGCCGTTCGGCTTGAAAGCTGTTCCGTTACGAAAGGATGTAGGTTGTTTGAGATATATGCGCGCCAAATAACGTCCGCGACTGCATCTGTACAAATTGTAGCCAGATCCGTGTCTGGCTCCTTTCTAGAAGTAGACGACACCTCCAATCTCGCCACGCTGTTGCACCATTCACATTCGAGGTGATATGACACCACCGAACATATATTCCAGCTATCTGATCAGAACTTTACACGATACCGAGCCGCTTCCCAAGGTGCACGCTAGCCCTTCAGGGCCTCTACCACTTCTTCTGCGCCACGCCTCCCAGCTGTGATAGCACCTTCTAGATACCCCTTCCACTCGTATGCGGTCTCACCACCTGCAAAGTGCAAGTTTTCAAATCGCTCGCGTAGCGCTCGGCCATGGGTCCTCAACATCCCCGGTCCCATAGCACTAGTAGGGGCACCATCAAGATGCGGCTCCTTGGTCTATTCGACAGCATCCACATCGAGGACGTCTCGCGCTTTATCAGCTAGTTCAGGTCCGACAAACGATACTAGATGGTCGATGAGCGCCACCTCACGGCTCAGCTCGCTCAATCGGTGCCAAGCTGTGGCGGTATCACCAGCAACAAACAAAGCAAGCGAGTACTGCTTTGTCGCATCATCGCTGATATCCCAAGAGAAGCAGATAGGGCCCTTCATGGACATGGACTTGCCCTGTAGACCTGCGTCTTTGCACCACGACGGAGTATACGATAGAATGACTGTTGCATAGATACCCGGCTTCGTACGCATTACGAGGGCTCTTTTCGAATGAGGTAGCGGAGGGCTGAATCGAATGTTCGTATATGTGTTGGTGGGAATTGCAAGGATGACCTTCTTTGCCCGATATCTGGTACCGTTTGAAGTGGTTACTTGGCAGACATTTCCGTATTGCGTGATGCTGTCAACCGGAGCGTTGATCTGTACAGACCCGGGCTCTATAGCGCCTGCTAACGCAGTCGCAATAGCGGAAGTTCCTTGTTTGATCTTCAACCCTTGCGCTCCACCTGGACCATCGGTATTGATGCTCGCGAGGCCGCCGGCTGATCTGACGTAGTCCAGGATGTAATAGATCCCGCATTCGTACGGTTCGCGACCAACCCATGCCGTGGTGAGAAACCTTGCAAGACCCTGGAGTAAGGCATCGTTGTATAGACCTTTCGTGGTCAACCGATCCGAAACACTGACGTCTTCCTCTTTGGGAAACGATCCAAGGTTGTGGATATCGGTCTCCTCTGCGGCCAAGGCAAAGGTCCCCATGAGCTTGCCAAGTGTCTCCGCCATCTCTGGGTCTCGAATCTATCTCAAAGAATTAACATTAATCTAGTCTCCAGGTGCTTCATTCAGATCCACAGGACTTATCTTACCTCTGGCAGGTTCGTACTGGCCCGTACAAAACTCCCGTCATGCAGCTTCCATATCACATCACCCTGAAGGTATTGGTCCTTGCAGTCGAGTCCAAAACGCCTCGTCAGCTCATAGACAGTCGGTTGTGTGACCTTGTTAATCCATGTCGCACCCAGTTCAACAAGTCCAGGGCCACTTCTCAGCTTCTGTGTGCTACTTTGACCGCCGATACGATGCTTGGCTTCGAAGAGCATGACGCTGTGACCAGCCTGATGGACATCGTATGCTGCCATGCAACCGGAGAACCCACCACCAATGACGACGACATCGATTTCTTTAGCATCAGAAGGTTGGCTAGTGCTGTCTTCTTCAACAGTCCAGATCTGTGCGAGGCCTCCAACACACACCACTGCTTCGATCTCTAACTTGGCTTCTGAGAAAGCAAGTCTCGGCACAGGAATGAGGGTCGTGGTGGGCTGCATGGGAGTCCCGCCATCGCTTATTGCAAGTAGCGAGAGAGCGGCAAACAGTTCTTCATGCATATTTTCGTTCCAGTCGACGATATAGAACGTCAACTTCACAAAGTCCTTGGCTGAGGCTCCAGCTGCTCTGACCACGTCGAGGAGGTTTCTGGTTGCTGGTAATGCTTGTTCTCCAAATGCGCTAGTGAACGAGCCATCGCTATGCTGACCCAACTGACCGGAGGTGTATATGGTGCGCTTCGCTCCGTTGACTGAAGCCGCATCGCTATAACCTTGCGGCTCGGGAAGATTGGGTCCGTTGAGAAAGCGGGTTGAAGGACGTACGTCTTTAGGTGCCATGGTCAGGGAATGGGAAGATGGAGATTGAAAGTGATGTATATTGTGAGATCAAGATGTATCGAATCTGGATGTCATGATGAGCGCTTGAGTGACGACCATCAGTGATGCGTTGGTCCCGAGACTTTTATGTACATTTTGTAAAGCTGACTGCTGTAGCCACCGTAGTCCGTCAAGCTCCGTTAACATGTTCCATCGGCCTACTGGTGTATCGATCGTAGGGAAGTCGCAGTCCACTATCTTACCCATCACGACGGTGATTAGTTTCAGATCTTGGCTTTCGGCCTCCTTGGACAGTCTTCACCGTCATTACCACGGGAAGTTTGCAGACAGTCCTGCGACTTTGCCAATGCAGAGCGAAGGTTATCGAAATTGGGCCGAGGTGTAGCCTCGAACAGCATACAGAAGCCATGAATCGGATTGCAAGTGGTACAGGCCGCGCAGAATCGGAGGAAAGGGCCAATAGCGTCTTATCTAACCGCGTCCCAGTATCTACAATGCCCGTGCGTTCGATGAACATCATCATTCGATGAACACCCCCAACAACTCAATATAGTCAAAAAGATGAGGTTGTAGAGCCACAACAAATCGTGATAGAATTGCGCAAAGCTAGGATTATA